CGTGCTTCTTACAAAAGTCAGATGCGCCAGAGGCAGACCACCGCGTTCCCCATCCGATCTCAACTGCCGCAGTTCATGTGGGCAACACGAATCAATCTCTCACGTGCTCCAGTCTTGCAGATTAACCCATGATGCACTTTGCAAACGTCATAATGACATTGTCACATAAGTTGCAACGATTCTACGCCGTCGGAAGCTACAGTCATCCCAGAACCACCCATCCCCACACCGACAATTTCCATCAAGCCAGATCTATTCGTCTGCCCGGACGCTACTATCTACATCAGGGTTTCTCAAACTTCTTGGGCCGCGGACCACTTTGTAGCGAAGCCTCGCACGGCGGACTCCCTGAAATATTTTTAACCAAATGACTAGGCTATAATAAAATGAAAATAAGCCGCCGTGTCCTGGAAAAGCTTATTGCTGTACACTTAACGAACACGGGTGTTCATTAACGTTACTACAAAGTGAAAGCTGTTGAATTTACATAGAAAAAAACGACGTACATTAAGGCTTAATGTGTACGACGAAATTGTTTCTGACCTGCAGCGCTGACTTATTTGATGTTCCGTTTTATTGAGAAAAGCTGCTATCTCATATCTGATTCAGCTTGAAGTTTATGGCGGTACTTCGTTTTTGTATAGGTGTAATTCGAAAACGCACTTTCGAACAGATAAGTTGTGATAAATGGGAGAAGCAGGGCGACCGCACTCTTCGCAATGACAGAGTACCCGTCGTTCACTACATCAAATATCAGACAACGACGATTTGTTAAACTCTTCCTGAAGAGAATAGTCTGGTACCATTTGAATTAATCTCTCGTGCATGCATGGAAATAAGTTTTCGACCCAGGAATCTGCTTTCGATTTTTCCTCACATTCGCTGGGGCACTTCCGAAACAAGTCTCCTACTAAATTTTCTAAATGCTACATCATTTTCTCTGGAATTTCTGTGCCCTCCGACATTTCTTAAAAAATATCATTTAATGTCGGAAGCTTGTCGAGATCTCGACTTCGAACAGAAACCTTCCAAACTTCTTCCTTTTTAACCCTCGAATTTCATCCTTTGCATTGAATATGGTCGCAGCTTTTCTTTGCAATGCTAGTTTTCCTCATTTTTATTGTGAATATATCAGACAGATAGACAAGTTTTGCCAACCACTTTCTGTCAATCATCAGGAAATGTAGATCAAAATGATAATCCATGAAGAAAGCGAAGAAATCTATGTGAAATTCTAAAATGCGGTGTAACATTTTGCCACGGGAGCGCCATGTTACTTCATATGAATTAGTAAAGATGCGTAGACGCATCCCATTTACATTAAATATATTCGCAGCTTTTCCTTGCAGTGCTAGATTTGCTTCTCTTACTTTTGCGAAGATATCGGACAGATAGACAAATCTTTCCAACCACTTTCTGAAAATCTAAATGGTTATCCACGAAGAGATCGAAGAATTTTGTACGTAATGTTAACAAATGCTGTAGTATTTTGCCACAGGAGAGCCAGCTTACTTCAGTATAGATCAGTAAGGATGTGTGGACACTTCCTTGTCTCCACACGGAACCTCGAAAAGTCGATTGTCCTGTGGCCGAAAGTGGAGCCGCACACGGCGCACCACCGACATACTGTTAACCAAAGGACTACGTTTCAATAAAATGAGGTGCGGAGTCCTAAGTTTAAGTTCAAGCGGGACTGGAACCATAGGATTATCCTGTGAGTGTTCCTTCTTCTGCAGGTTGTTGAACCAGGACTTTGAAATACTGATGAACTTAAAACAAAGACCGCAGCACACCCTGTCCAACCAATTACTGCTCACGCATCCTGCCCTAGCAGTCACTGCTAGGCCGGTTACGTGAAGTAAGAAAGAGAAAAAAGTAAACTCAGAAGGCAAAAGAGAAAGTGGAAAGAGCTAAGCAAGTAGAATACCAAGATATTTGAGTCATTAAAAATAGGAACTGAAAAGTGAAAGTGAGTCAGCTAGGAAAAAGGAAAAGTTCGCTGTTGCCACCCAAGCGCATCGATCTGGTGCGCAAAACCCTTAACCATAGGTTCCCTAACCACGTGACCTGGAAGCGAATTCCAGCGATGTATAACTCGGCGCGACAGACGAGTTTCCTTCCTAATGCTATCAGACCGCGGTTCATGCAGTTTCAGTGGGTGACCGCGGAGATTAGGTAACGTAGCGGGACTAAATAGCCCTGACAAGTCCGGGTCAATCTTACCCGTCAAAATACGATAAGTGAGAATCAGGTCCTCTCTTATCCTTCGGTAGTGCATTGAGTACATCCCCAAACTAAGCAAGCGTTCAGGATACGTCTGTCCCCGTAAACACTGCACTAACCGAGTGCCCACTCGTAACACCCTTTTCATCTCCATTTTGTTACTTCATATGAGTTAGTAAAGATGCGTAGACGCATCCCATTTACATTAAATATATTCGCAGCTTTTCCTTGCAGTGCTAGATTTGCTTCTCTTACTTTTGCGAAGATATCGGACAGATAGATAAATCTTTCCAACCACTTTCTGAAAATCTAAATGGTTATCCACGAAGAGATCGAAGAATTTTGTACGTAATGTTAACAAATGCTGTAGTATTTTGCCACAGGAGAGCCAGCTTAGTTCAGTATGGATCAGTAAAGATGTGCGGATCATTCCCATGTCGTTACACCAGTTTTGAAATTCGGTTGTCCAGAGGCGGAATATGAAGGAAATTAATTACTTTCACTGCTTCATCGTGGACTGTTTTGTGATTGTGTGGCAGTTTTCTTACGACAAATGCTTGTCAATGAAGTATACACTGGTTGGTTGCGCAGGTGTTTGCAACGGTTTCTGTCCTTGTCACACCACCAGCAACCTTCCGTCATTTCTTTAAGCCATCGGTGCAAATATCGATGCAGTAGTTTCATCGAAATTTATTTTCGTACATAAAATTGTTCACGATATTGAACATATCAGTGCCAGTAGTGTTTTTCGGTAGAGGTTCACACAAAGCATGTCTTCTTCCAGCGATAGTAGGTGTTGGTATCTTATTGGCACAATCACCACGACAAGTTCTGCCACATCTGCCGACTCAGCCAACGTAGAGCAAATTGAGCATACCTGATGCGGGTGGTTAACTCCTCATTAACAGCAATTACTAGTGTCTTCACTCTTCGAGATACCGCATCTTTTGATAGTCGTACTACAGACAGTTGTCTTGCTAATCCTTCATCCAGTAAGCACCTAGCCATTTCGACTGCACATGGCTTGATAACTTTCTCGGCTATTGTGTGAGGTTCTCCTGTCAACGCAGTAAGATAACTAACTATGTAAGGTGCTTCAGTAGCCTTTTCATTCACAGTCCGGGACGCGTGAAGCACGCACTTTTGGATGTTCAACAGTTCACCTTCCCTGCGATCAAAGTACCCATTTTTCTGTCTTTACAGTCCGCATGCTTTTTCCAAAATGCCGTTGCATTTTTGGGGTTTCCATGGTAATGTTCGGAAGAACTTTGTTACACAAGCCACTGTGGACGATTGTTGGACTACATAAATCCAAAAGAAAGACAAAAAGTCATTATATTTGGGTCACTTATCTCCTGATACAGCTAACCCTGTTGGCACATATTTGTGTTGCGTTGCACCAGATAGACCAGGTACACCGAACATCTCAGTTTATGCATTCTCAGAAGGCACATCACATGCCGCAATGAGTACTATATCTGAATTCAACGATGAATACTTCTGTGACAGAATTGACAATGTTCCTGTCTTCAGCCAACGGTACATGTTGCTTCCAAAAGCTAAGATGTGAAAATAAAAATCTAGCGCAGAGTTCCAGAACACAACTCGAATTTGTTTAATATGCTAAGTTGGACTAGGGATAAAGTATAAAATAAAGTAAACAAACATCCACCTTCTGTAATTTCGCAGAGATAGTTTCATTCCAATCCACGAAATCAAATGAACGCACTCGTAAAACACCGCAAGATCCGCGCTTTTCTTCTGGACTTCCATGAGTGGGATCGCGCCGATGGGCCTCTATGTCTAAGGTGCCATTTTCGGAGGATAACAAGTCTCGGAACGAACACATACTTGGGCCATAATTCATGACTTAGTTTTTGCCTTCCGTCGCGGGACAAAGCCCGGGTTAGGTGACCTAGTGCGGAAGTAGGACGACCTATACAGCCGCCACCGATCGCATCACGGTGGGATTTCCACAATACATTTCTCACATTTGCAAGCTCCGTTCACTCACATATTAAGTCACTACCAAAACCGCGTTCCTTCTTGGAAGGGGTCTGGCTTACATCGGCCATAAATGAACCTAATGTAGACCATCAGATGTGATTTAATAAACGTGCACAGCAAGCTGGTCATCAGACCACAAAATAAAATGATTGCGACAAGGAAAGCGGTTAACTAAATTATGACATTTCGGAAAATCCCGCGAACCACACTTTCAAAAACACTGGATTGGAAGGTCATTCTTAAAAACGCGTTGTGTCCTTGGATTGCGACGTGCATTGAAGCGAACCCTAGTCAATTCGAACATAAAGACTGTTCGTTTGTTCTCCAAAAAATCCCGAAAGGTAAAACAATCTTTCTTAGCGCAAGTGATGCACGCCATTACGCGGTCAGAATTCGCGCTGCTCAAATCTTAACGAACATTGCGGGATGATGCCCGTTAGATTCGAACACAGACGAAGCAGTAATCAATGCGCTACGCAAAATAATTAATGAAATCAATCGCTGGATGACTACCACGTTGTTTATTACGAACCAGAGCAAAAGGCAGAAATTATCAGGAGTATTCATCTAGAGTCGAACATCATTCATGAATAGTGAAATATATTATTAGACCGTTGACGGTCGATAAAACCGATCACTGTTCTTTCGGACAGATCAGCGCGATCTGTGCATAGTATAGAGAACGGCACTCTGCATAATGCAGAAAGCCTCCGGGTGGTCCACAGTCGAAGTGGTTTAATCCTTATTAGTTGCGTTTCTACTCGAAGCTTGGGATTCCAATTAGGGACCTTGCGGTGAGACCCACATATCTCGAATGAGCGACTACGAGCTTTCAACCGTATGCTAGATGTCTAAGCTTAAATTGCATGTGCCAATGAACCCGAAGAGAAAGTCGTGTAAACAGCGGAGATAGATGCAAGCAAAACAAACAAGAAACAGAGATGTTATCGCATTGAACATTGTCACAGGTAACTTTATGTAGCAAAATTGAAATGATAACGTCCATCGATGACAAATCATAAAACACTACAAATAAATTTCATCTACGCTCGTTAGTAAGAAGAAGTCTTAATTGCATCCTCAACAGCAGCTCTATAGAGCTCTGCGGTAGCGGATGGGTCGTCTGCATCGGTGATACCACGCCCAACAATGAGGATGAGGTTTGAACGAGCTGATTGCACAGTCCTGAACCGCTCCACTGCGGAGTCGACAGTGCAGTAAGTTTGACCAAGCTGGTCACCAGACGCATGCATATGAACACCTAGTAAAAGAGGGGAAAAACAGGTAGATGGAAAACTATAAAATGCTCTTAGAAACGACTTCAGTACTGTCTCATGAATGGAAATGTGGCTATTTCATTCACTACACTTAAGATACTAAGAGTATAAGGCCCAAATGTTGACGAAAAATGAGACGGCAAATTCAAGAATATAAGGAAACATTGTCTTCATTACAAATCACACGAGAGGCAGCATTACTTATGCAAACCAGTTACTTCAGATAAGGACTTAGCAATCACGACCATTTGCAGAATTAGGAAATTTGTAAGCACCATTGAAGTGACGTTATTCAAACGATTAAACGAGACGGCCATTATGATCCCTTAGGCTTCCGATGAACAGAGCCACTGGTTGGGTGTGCTGATGTGGCGCATCCTGGATGCTTCGGCTTAATCAGCTGTTATTAATTAGAATGCGAACGAGAGCACTAGAAACATGCGCAGACCAAATAAGACGAACGAGTGACATTAGTATTGAGCCCTTAACTCGTAGGGTAAGTGTAAGTTTCAAGCGGCAGAAACAAAATGCAGCCCAATGTAGAAGCATTTGTAGAAAGTTCGACGAAAGTGCAAAGCTTCCCATTTACACGAAAACACCTCCAAAATTACAAAATTCACTTACCTGGGATCCAGTAAGATGCACATGGATTGGCTTCGAGCATGCGGTCGGCTTCTGCAATAGGGTTTTGGCAGACAAACCCGGCGATCACATCAGTGTAAGCTTCGCACAAACGTAAACATTTTGACGAGTAGGAATCATCCAGCAAATTATCCTATGATGCAGAAAACAGTAAGAACGATCATTTCTGGACACCAGATAAACATATATAACGGATAAAAAAGGTAAAAATATAATCAGGAAAGTCTTGCAGCATGATAGCCATTAATTGCCAAAATGTTTCTAGGTATAAGTAATCGCAGTCTTAGGAGTCCTCAGCGCAATGACCAGAAGTGCGCAATCACATTCGATTTTTTTGACACGTAGAGCCAAGGCCGTGCGCGTTGACCAGTTTGAGTGTGCTTTCAGGTAACATCAGCACGATGAGGTCAGCTCTGGATTCCACGAGATGCATGTGCCAAAGGCACCGAAGCCGTCATCGTGGAAGTATACACTTTAGTCGTCGACACAGCCAGCTTTGATCTGAAAATCCATCGAGGAACGTCGGTATTGTTAATGTGACGTTAGGATCGTGCACTAGTAGTGGTCCAAAAACAGCAATGGTCGAAACAAACCTCGTGCATAAACTGACCAAGTTTAGCAACTACACAGCAAAACTGTTCCAAGGGTTGGAAAGAGAAGCCGAAGTCAAGTTATCGCGAACCATCTGGGGTTTAGAAGTGTCTATTTCATGCAGCAAACGAACTTGTCGGTAGGAATAATGCCAATTGCTGCAAGGTTGTCAATTCGAAAAAGTTGAATCGGCCTGATGGAAAGTTATCAGTTACTCAAGGATACATCACCTGATAATGCGATGTGTACCAGCATCGTCTTCGTAGCTAAAAAAGTACTGAAAAACGATTCGAAGCTACAACAGATGAGTGAGGCGATAAAGCCAAGACGACACTGGTGTATTGATATCCACATGTAGTTTAGTTGATCGACACGAATCCAAATATCAAAGAGCCCCATTGTCCCTATTCCGATCGTTATTATATGTACGAAGTATGAGCAGTTCGGCTGTGGAGTAAATTGTGAACTCCAAAACCTGACAGAGAAATCTGGCTGGTTGCAAGCGTAACAACATTCAGTGCAATGTAACGTCAAGAGTTCACCAAGTAGCGTGTGGCAAATAACCGTACAAGTCGCATTCATGCTTTAGAGACAAAATCGGTCAACAGTTGCATAGATGACGAGAAGGGGGAAGAGGACTCGTCACAGATGATTTCGGATAAGTAAATGAAGACTTGCCCTAGAGCTCATCTGTAACACAGGGAGGGCTTTGATGCAATGGGATTTCCCCTTGATGGAGAGCTCCTCGTTTGCTGTACGAAATGCTTGAAGTACACCAGAGCCAGCGATGCAGTGGACCGTCACAAGGTGGCACCATTCAGCAACCCGGTAAATGCCCTTGGAGAGCTGTTGCAATGCTGTCTGTCCGATGTCGGCCAATTTTCTGATGAAGAAATAGATGAAAAGGTGTAAGCCAACAGAAAACCTTGGGCCAAAGAAGATACCGATTAATCAATTCAACAAACCAACCTGTCTTCCAAGAGAACAAAGCCATGCTGGTTCGCTAATTCGCGAAGGCCATAGATCAGTTGATCCGCATTCGTTCGGGAGTCCAGGAGATCAAGATGCATCTTAATCGCACATACACTCGGTCCGACCGTGTCGGCCAATCGTAGGAGTTGGTTCGCATCGGTAGTGTCGATGGCAACGCATACACGCGATCTCTTATTCTCCGACACTTGTTCCAAAGATAACCGTCCAAGAGGTATGGAAAACTCCACTGGCGGTGTCCTCAGGGGCTGAAAGGAACGCAAAACAGCCAGCGAAACGACCAGATTGATGAACACTATTAGTTATGGGTATAGAAATGAGGCAATAGACAGACGTGGAAAGACTGTGCCGAAAAGCGGATCAACGGTCTCCGGAACATTATTTGAGGTGGTTACCAATTATTCATCGAATTCCGGTTGCTTACGTACTTCAAATAAGAAGGGACAACGTGGTGCAAATGAAGGAAAGTGCTAACCTACAAAGTGCACAAGTTTCATGGGCAACTTCTGTTCGAACGGTTCAAGAGGTTGGGGCAAAGTGTAAGTTACGTGTTCCAAAAAGTGAACGGAGTGACTCGCAGGTCTACTTCGCGCAAAGTGGATAGGAGCGATTTGAATCACGGTAAGTTGTGGTAACCTGCCGCGAGTATAATAAGAAGGGAGAGGAATACCAACCGCACAACTGGTATGTACGCCAAACCCACAGCTAAGCTCCGTGCTGATGAGCAGCGGAGAAACAGCGGGCAGTAGCATATCCCAATGATCACCGTCATATTCATGCCTCTATAAGAAACAACAATAATGGCTCCAGCGGGAGAAAGAACCCCGTAAAAAACCTAAAAGTCCCAAGTAAATGCTAAGACTGAATACGCCCACACACTACAACATCGGACATGTCAAAACCGGTTATGCGATATAGCTTATGCACGAGTTTGAATGCCTCGCGTGTTCTCGATCTCGTCCCATAGACAGCTCTGTACAAGACACACTTCAAACCAACAAGAAAACCAGGAAACCTGCCAGTGGTTCTGAGGCGAGCAATCTGTTGTGAAGGCACAGTCAAGCGTTGCGTGGACTTCTGATTGGAAGATGCGACAAATCGTGGAGCACTCAATCAAATGATAAGCAAATTTACTTCGAACTATCACTTTAGTGATTTCCCTCTTGTCTCATCAAATATACTAAACGAAACCAGGAAGTCAAAGATACAATAGCAAACTCCATTGACAGAAAAACAATGAATCTAAAATCATCGTCAGTGGGAAAACGAGAACGAAGGTAGCTCCACTAACGCAGGTTGATGGAAAAAAGTAGACACAAGAGTTGATAACTAAGCATGACGCTTAACTAACACTTCATATAAAGAAGGCAAAAGAAAGCAGGATGGGGATAGGTAGTGAGAGAGATACTGAGATTACCGGGATATCCCTGAGACAGATTAGCACTACAGTGAGTGAATGGGTCCAAAGCGGCTTCCGCGAAACGATTTCCTAATACTTGTTGTTGAGATTCATAGAGAATTCCGTTCAGAACACATTCCAAAAAGAAAGCACATGTTTAAATAAACAGCGTCGTAACAATGAGAATTTGTCTTTTGCTCACGGCTGTAATTTTCCACCCTGGAAGATGAGACAGACCTAAAACCAGCTCCGTTTGTCTCATCTCATGCGGCATCACAGTACCGTTCTTTTTCGATATTGGGAACAAAATGACATGTACGCTATTAATAACTGATGTATAATGACAAAGTCTGTAAAGATTGTGTCAAACCAGGAGGTGGAAGACAGTGACAGTCGACGTTAGGAAGAATGAGAAATGGACTGTTAATCGAGGTACAGCGGTTAGGAACGTAGCCGTCAGCACATTGCAATATGATTAAGACAAAGCATACTGATGAGCGATGAAGATCGAGGTGCCACCGCGAATCAAAAGCTTGGAGCGAAGGAGCCCTAGACGAGTATGATGCGGAATGTCAATAGATATGCAAAGCACACATTGGCAAATTCTCACTTATGTAATACAGCTGGAGTATAAGCCACGAGAAGAAAAGCAATTGGACGGCTGCAGGATGGCTGGTTGTGGGGAAACAGTGCGGTTTGTTAGCTGTTGGCGTTAAATGGGCAAGTAGTCCACACACCAGTTGAAAACAGTCATCTATTGTTAAATTGAGCACGAAAGCAGCATTTGACACTTACATGTTGAGATAAGCGGAGATGAACCCTTGCAAGAAGCAACATGAGGACTGAAGCAATCCCGTCCAACCATCAGTAGCATAGGAAGAACACATATGTCACGCTTAAGTAGTGATAGTAGGCAAAACAGATTAAGGTCATTAAAAGTAGTGAAAGTGGACGACAGAGGAAAACTCCATTATGCCGCTGGATCGCAGCTGACGTAAGTAGAGGCTTGTGAGCATAGGCGTTCCGTACCAAGACAATAGTTCAGCATGCTCAACTTGTGAAGAGTACTTTGTTTGATCTGGGAACCGAATTGCCCATTGAAGTTTAGCAGATTCACGTGCATGGCTAGTTGCAACAGGCCAGGGTGTAACAAGTCATATTAAGGCGGCGTGTGTGCAACAAAAAATAACCATTCGCCTTTGTGCTACCACTGTATTTTCTCAGTGCAACAAGTTGATCTCTTTCGCATCTTCGCGACGGTTCCGATGACACTTATGTCCGTACGCAGACTAGGCAACTGATATGCCGACACAAGGCAAAGATTGAAGTGTTGATTGGCTCTCCGAGCTGAGCCATTTGATTACGGACGTTTCACCATCAATCGAGGTGACATCACCAGTGCGCTATAGCAAGCAGCTTGTCACCAAGTACTGAGCTTCGAGTAAATCCAGAGACGGATCCGTATTCGGTCGACGATCAGTGCCTGCTGACTAGGTAGTTGGTAGTACGCACTGAAGATGCCACCTCAATTAGTGGCGAAACATCTATAATCAAATTGCTCAGCCCGGACAACCAATCAAGCTGAGCTACCGGCATTCAGACTTATTGCAAAACAGAGGGTGTCCGTGTTAAGACTTATGCCTCCTGTTAGTTACACAAACGAAAGAACTAACATCTATTCCCAAATGGGCTTACCTCGGTTATCGGTGTTGACAGAATGAAGTTGACAACGCGATGATGTTCATCTGCAGAAATCCGACCTTCTTGCAGTAAAATCTCGCTCAGTTCTGTAAGTGTGAACAGGCTGTGAAGAAGAAAAGCAGTGACATGCGGTTCATAACAGAAACTTATCCAAGAGAATGCAGATGAAACACACACACACAACAAAAATTGACGGTTAGCTCGCATTGAGTGGTATTATTAGATAGCAAGGGAGACAATTGAGGAATGAACGGATGGGGTGCGTGAAAGAAATCACGGCATTCAGCGGAACTAAGCGGGTCGCGATACAAAGTCTGGTAGGGAGGTAATGACGGCAAAACAAATCCGCGACATGCATCATGTACTGTAAACGATGGAGAATCTAAGGCTCGATTTTCTGTAGCAAGCTGTGCCGTACAAACCACGAGGCTATCAATGGTTGTAGAACTAGTCGAATCAAATCAAGTCAAGAGAAGCTTTATGTACCCGAATTTGATGCATTTTCAGCAATTTACAGTATCAACTGCGAATGAAGCAAAATGACATCACCAAAATTGCAAAATTTTATAAATGGATAAACAAAAGGGAAGAATGCATTGATGTCACTCGAGTAAAAAGATCCGCATTCTTGGGCACTAAGCGCAAAGTGATAAACAGAATCCTCGGGTTATTTCCACCGGAGGGAGTAGAGTTATACGAAGACATTTCTTCAGCATCGGTTTCAACCGCACTAAAAGTTCGCGGCCAAAAGCAACAAAGTGCGAATAGTGCATGGTATCTCGACATAGTATTCAAAAGACCGTCTTGGTGACTTTGGACAAAAAAGACGTCAAAGTATTTCTTAAAAACTTATATATTCGCAATAGCTAAATGAAAAATGATGTTCAATGAGAAGGTGACAGTCGCTTTAAAGGTCCCAGGGGACTTGTCAGATTGATCCGAGATCTGAAGTAGTCTGGGACATTAAATGAGCCCGTATGAAAAGAGACAGTTCATCATAGGTGCCTTCATGTAAATGAAAGCCAGGCAGAATATGCGGAAGACAATCGCAGTAGGAATATGAACTGCAGGGTTTCATACCATTTCACGGGTCTCTGTGGTAGTTGAATGAAGAACCAAATAATTAGCTGAGGAGCAACCCACGAGAAGCGAAGCCGACGGCAGCGAGCCAACGTGACCTGGGAGAGGCTCAATTACTTCCGTGGATGCGTCCAACCATCTTTAGATATGAGGGTGCGGTTTATGCTGGCTCATTGATCGCCAATAATGCCGTTTGTCAGAAAGCTCCTGGATCAAGCTGATTCCTAATGAGTAGAGGATTTGTATGTAATTAATAGACTGCTCATCTCCATCAGACATCCATTCGCGCATCCGAAAAAGCACTAGGCAACTGTTCCATCATACTGTGGCTAGTCAGTAGTACGCATCCACCGGCTCTACTAGAAACCGAACCCAAGACTCATAGACGTCAACCGCTTATGCCAGGGAATGTGCATTAGTGGCGAATCCCAGTAGGAGTCGAAGTGTACCAAACTGATTCCGTCGGCCCCTGAGAAAAACGGAGGATGCCCCAACAATGCAAACGTGCAAACCGTGACTACATTAGAATCGTGATGCAAAAATTTCCAACATCGAAGATGCATGCTGCAGCAGCTGATAGTGCCGTAGATGAAGGACGCTATCGGGGTCCAAAGGTTAGAACGATGGAGTCCAAAGAGGTAAAGTGAAAAATAAGAAGCAAAAGCGTGACAAAACAAATACAATCGCACTTGGAAAGGAGCTACTAACAAAAGATGGCAACATCAACGTAGAAGAGATGGAGCGCCTACGATCACCGCGTTCAAAAAGGTATGGCGACGTGCAATGATGCTACTAATCCCATTGGGTGCTATCTTACCTGTGAACGGAAATCTTGTCGTTTACGGACAGGTTATGCACACCACCCTGTTCCCGATCGACCAATACGATCGCACGAGAGATGCTGACTCCTTCGCTACGGAGAATCTGCAGAGCAACAAGGGAGAGTGAGCGAACTGTGTTAGGATATGTAAACACAAACCGAAACGATGACAAGTTCGACGTCAAGGAATCATTCGACGAAGATAGTTGAAAATGCTGAGCAAATTGTCAGAGAGGATGAAGTGGTAAACAGGATCCAGCGGGTCAGAGAAACTCTTGTGTATGGAACAAGAGAACTCAGATCAACTAGCCACAACTGATGTAAAATAATGTAGTGTTGATGGGTTTGGGTGACTGTGGAGTCGGTAAAGCCCAAACAAGCATTCATTCTGAGTTCGGTAAGAGCAGCCGAAAAGTGGGAGAGAACTAAGACGATGTGATAAGACAAGTCGAGGAAACAACTGCTCATGCTAACGAGTGCAAAAAAGTGGGAGAAAAATGAAATCATAAAAATGCTGATTTACTTTGTACATTAAAGTAGTTAGTTACGTACAACAATTTGAAAAGCACAGAAAGAAGACGAAAACTGGTAGATGCATGCATTTCGTATTGTGTCCTCCGTACCATTAACAACAACCAATATGCATAGATATTGCTGACAGTGGGCGCGATCAGATATGTTTGAGGTGCAAAGTGAATAACGGAAATTCACCGCTACGTCCATGACAGCTTAAGGCTGATAAACAACTGTTTCTGAACACCCAGGGCTGGCGTCATCCAGGTTATAACAACAGCCTCAGCAAACTGAAGCAAGCGGGAATTGGTGTGACGTAACACACCTTCGAACGTTGAGCCTAGCTCTATCCGGTGACCCGACACCAATAGGTGCTGGCCTATTGAGGAAGCCAGGGGAACAAGCGAGCACGGAATTTGAGGGGAGTAGGGAATCTGGGCAAGTTTACGCTGAACCTATTTCGGTACATGCTCCTTTGTTTGGGAAATCAGAGTTCTATCAATTCGGCCTATGTAACTGTCGCCGCATTGACCCACATATTTGCGCACACAGTGTGAGCTGGCCCCGATAGGCTGAGCTTTCTTCGATACAGGTACGGTAAATCCCTGGTTCGGTTGATGAGGACTAGTTGTGTAGAATAGTAACTTCCTTACGCAGCGGAAACTATACGCTCAGCTGCTTTCAGCGTGGTTAACTCAACTTTGAAAGGTGACTCAATATACACCATTTTCTTGGCTGCCGTGTGCACCAGGCCCTCTGGCCCTGGGGGTTGGCTGTTTCTTGATAAATTATCGAGGGTAGCTGTTTGCCATAAATGATACTAGCTCATATCCAAGCAGTCAGCAAGACAAATTATGCTCTTCACAAGTGTCCGCTTGTGCTGCACTGGTATGAAGCCGGGGAATACTGAATTGTGGTGGCAAATAGGAAGTTGAATCTGTACCATTCCGACGAAATAGGATCAAGAACTTTAAAAACCATCAATGACCTGGCAACACACTGATCATTTTACAAGTTTTCACATGATATAGGAAAAAATAACGTAGAATTCACAGTAAATTGGGCCTCACAAAGGTGAGATACCAATGTCAGTGAGTAATCGTTCTCAAAATCTAACACTAGAGGAGTGTACATCGAACAACGTTCTGAACTGCTGCATCGAGTTTGTTTCCATGATATGCTCCGGCAAGCTGCTCCAAATATTGACCACCCGCCGTTCAAAGCACAAGAGATGGGGCACTCGCTTCAGAGCTGGAACCACAGGCTTGTACTGTCAGCCGCGTTTGCTTCAAGGTGCTTGTAGATGAAGCAGTAGCGTTAGCATGGTGACGTCACGTAGATGCAGAGTGCGGTCGACTGGCACCCGGTGATTGGCTAGTGTGTACAGCTCCAGTCTCGCATCTGCCTACGTACGGTAAGCCTTATAAACTGGGGATGAGCCTGGGAGCGATGTGCTGGGCCCTTCCAATTTTCTGCGCGTCATTTCGTGTAGTCGAGCAATAGGCGGGTGAGCTGTACTCTAACATTCGTCTTATGGAGGAGAAGAGGCGACTGGCAACCTCTTCAGATCAGGTGCAGAAGTTGCGTTTGAGCGTCCATAGCATGCGCAGTCCGTTTCCGTGTAGCTTGTTCGTGTTGTCCATGGACTTCAAATCGCAACCACAGAGCACACTTAAGTACTTCACGAAAGGTGTGGGATGTGGCATTTGGCAGTCAAGAGTGTAGGTTCTGCCGTCATTACCCTTCCGACTTGCTGGGGTTGACCGGGGTGAGGACTTCCATAGATCACGTGAAGAGGAGGTTGAGGTCTTGCTAAATTAGGCCGCAGTCGTCGGAAGTGCATTTCACTTTTCACATCTTCAGGTCATCCGCAAACAAGGCACACGGCGAAGGAAGAAGCTAAGATAGATCGTTGGTGGGAAACAGGAACAAGGTGGGCCCCAACATCGTGCCTTGCGGCACGTCATTGGTCGAAGGATACCAGTCGGTCAAGGCGGCTATCGACTTGCACCCTCCACTTTCGTCCAACGAGAAACTCGCGGATCCACTGGTGAAGTGAGCCGCCAACATCGCATACTCAGCATTTGAAGGAGGACCTCATGGTTTACCTTGTCGAACGCTTTGCTGAAATCAATGTGGATCACGTCGTAAAACTGTTATAAACGTCCTGGTTTGGCTTCGTCTGTTCTAGTCCAACGGAGGAAATCTTTCACTCGATGGTTGACACAGGCAGAGTAGCTTAAACGATTCGTATTGGAACGGCTAGTGGACTTAGCCGGCAGACGTGAACTCGTAACTGATGAGGCAGACGAAATGCGTAAACGCCGCACAACTGTATCGAGACCCGCAAAAAGAAGATCGGCCAACAGTAAGAGTGCGTTTACTGGCTTAACCAAGACAACCGTGTTTTCTAAATCGTCATTAACCAGCTAACCGCGCTGTTCGCAAAAATTTGGCATGAAGAGAAAGTGCCTTCCTCTTGGGGCGAATCAGTTTTTGACCCAATTTTCAAGAAAGGCGCTCGCACTTCATGTGCAAATCATCGCGGGATTAGTCTTATTTCGGTTGCCTCTAAGCTGTTGGCATCCATTCTACTTCTCAGACTATCCCCAGTACGTGAATCATACTACGGTGAAGAACAAGCTGGTTTCCGTCCTGGCCGCGGATGCGTGGATCAAATCTTCACGCTCCGCCAACTCCTTGAACATCGCCACATTTATCACAGGCCCACTATCGTTGCATTCCTAGACATACGTGCCGCTTTTGACTCCGTTGATCGACCTGCTTTATGGCGTTGCTTACTAAAGAACGGGTGCCAGAGAAATATATCGCCATCTTACGAGCACTTTATCCTTCACACATCCGGCAGAGTGAGGGTCTATGGCAAGCTTTCCTCGCAATTCACTGTCAATAGCGGTGTGCGACAGGGCTGCCCTATGTCCCCATTCCTCTTCAACTTCGCAATCGAAGACGTTCTGTCGAATGCCCTAGAAGGTTTCCAACATTTTGGCCTAGAGCTTCTACCGGGTGAGCGCGCGACCGACTTAGATTATGCTGATGATATCGCCTTACTTGGTGACGATCCTCAGGGTATGCAACTCATTCTGGATCGTTTGGCGGTTGAAAGCATCTAAGTATGGCATGAGTTTCGCCCCATCGAAGTGTAAAGTACTGCTCAAGGATTGGCTTTCACCTGCACCCGTGCTCACTCTCCAAGGTGCACAACTTGAACAGGTAGATAGTTTCGTCTACCTTTGGAGCTGTGTTTCCGCTGACGGCACAATCAGCAAAGAAGTTTCGCTTCGTATCGCTAAAGCTCGATCAGCATTTGTCAATCTGAGGCACTTGTGGCGTCGTCGCGACGTCTCATTCTCACTAAAGGGCCGAGTTTACAGCGCGTCCGTTCGCTCAGTATTGTTGTATGGGAGCGAGTCCTGGCCGATTCGCGTGGAAGACATGCGTCGTCTTTCTGCGTTCGATAACGGTTGCTTAAGGAGGATCGCTCGTGTTCGGTGGCAACATCGAGTTACCAGTAATGACGTTCGACGTCGCGTCTTGGGGAATGCAAGTATTTCGTTCAACAAACTGGTTTTGTTGCGCCAGTTAAGATGGCTCGGTCATGTCCTACGCATGGCACCTGAGCGTCTACCGCGTCGCGCTCTATTCGCTCGTCAAGGACCTGGCTGGAGGCGACCGCGTGGTGGTCAGCCTTCCACTTGGCGGCAGCACATGAAATCGCTGACGTCGTGTCTAGCCGCTGTTGGGCCCGTACGTCTTCCAGGATGGGGACCCAAAGATGGCGAGTGCCAATGGCTTAGGACACTTGAAGACATGGCCCGCAACCGGAATCAATGGAAGAATTGTGTACAGTATTGTATTGATTCACATGTTTAATTCTACAAACATTGAAAATGACAAAAAAGGAGAAAAATCGGCGTGTGACAAACAAACTAAAAATGTTTTGTTCTGTATTTTTGTCAAAATATTCCATTTTCTTGCGGCATATTAGCTGAAGTGTGTTGCCCACCTTCAGCTAGCATGCCACGACGATTATGATGCAATGACTACCTCTTATACACTGATTTCCATGGCTTTCTTGGCTCTATGTCTAGTTACTAGACTGTTGAGATTACATACATACATACATATTTATACTTCACTAAAACAGTAGTAACTGTATAAACTATGAAGGAAGGCGTATGTTTGTTGGCACATGAGTTGCCATGTAGTGCTCCTATCTCCGGAGAGAGGTAGGCTGGGTTTGATGCTGTTGAGACGTTGGGCACATCACAACTGCTGAGTGTTCTCGGTGGCCAAGGCATTGGCATGAACACGGTTCAGGAGACAGACTGTTAACTTGAGGAGCGTCCGGGAGATAGTATAGTCAGACTGGGGCGAGTTCAGTGGACAGTGTGCGGGATACGTTGACCGTACTCTCACTGAGGACAACTCTGTTGTGATTTGTGCAGATGAGTAGGCCCTAGGCGGCAGTTGCCGCAAGGAGACCTCCGATGTCAACTGAGTTGTTTAAGCCTCTGCATAGCGACCGTGTTGTTCGGGTCCGATAGTGCACTAACGCCGGTGAACGTCGTTGAGTTTGTGCTACAGGGCTGCGCCAGCCGTGTAGCACAAACTTTCCCTGATTCACTACTCGCAACCATCCATGGGTCGTCACAAGCAGGCTGGTGATACATGAATGACCTAGCATGAAACTGTGCTGTGCGGGCGTCAGGAGATCTTTTGACCGGAACAACTGTAGCATACACTTCTTTAAATCTTCTCGGAAACCTTGGGCAAAATAGGTGTCAAACAAATTAGCCTGTATTTGCCTACCTTGCTAGGTTTACGGCCTTTCGAAATCGGCCTTATCAACGAGCATTTCCAAACAATCGGCAACGAACGTTTGGACAGCGATCTGTTGAGCAGCTCAGTCACAGCAGGTGAGATAATGGTCAATAAGGATGGAGCCCACCAGGTCCAGCAGGTTTGGTGCCGTCAAGTTTGGCGAATAGCTGACGCACTTCTACGCCACAATCCAGACTGTCGAGTTCAGTAAGGACTGTGCACACCTGGTCGTTTGCAAACACAGTAATAAAGTGCGCCGCCAAGGTGGGCGTACGCTCAGTGCTGGTGATTAGGGGCTGTTTGTTTGCGTCTCCTACAACAAGTAGGCCACTTGTCGGTTTCAGGCGCCGATTCACGTATGCAAAGATTTTCTCCGGGGCGGTCTTTGCTGCAATTGCAAGCTGCTCTTCGAAATGCTTGTGTATACTCGTTTTCAAACGGCTGCAAACATGCCTCTGCGTTTATACACCGCGTAGTCACTGCGGCCTCCATAGGACAGCCACAGTAAAGGGCATTGAAGAAGAGGGAAATTTCGACGGTGAGCTTTTCCACGAGAGATAGTGCAAAGAACACGGGTACGGAAAAGAGTTTTGTTTTAAAAAGGGTCAGCAACAGTAAATCATACGTGCAACTCTTCTGGGGGAAAACTTCGTATGCATTCACAAGAACTTATCTTGACCAATGGGCCCCAGAAGCAGTACATATATTGCTTATTGTTGATAAAGATTTGTGTGCCATTAAGTGCACATTACTAATCCTAGTCGACAACTACGAAGTACACACCAGTTTCCGTGGAGTGAAAAACGGTGGTTAGCGCTGCATCCAGGTCTATCTAGCATGAATGAAAAGCAGACGTTTGACCATGAACTTATTGGATTGATGGTGTGGGTTGCAACATCGAAACACTTCCTGACCGCTGTTGCGAAATATTTTCCAAATCCGGTTCCCGCTGTGCACTACTAATACCTAAGACGATACGCCAGTGAATGTTCACCTGTCAGTAGATATGAGATATGAAATGTTTGCAAGATGTCAAGTAGAACCAGAAAACCTAACCAATTATGAGTTGAGCATGCATCTGTCTGTACAGCTGAACTAGAGGATTCAGTGAATACCGAAGAAGACAAATCATCACACGCAAATTTATGGTGAAATGACGGGGAAAGTCCACACAAGACTTCAAGAGATAAGACAGAAGGTTCAGGAATTGATGAGGATAGCCATGGAAGAACAAACTGCGCGACAAATGAAAAGGCGACACACTCACCTTAGCCACTGAGGCGACGCTGCAGCCTGATGTGACCACGTCTTCGATAATTACACACTTTTGGCCCATTTCCCAAATGCCCTCGATAACTTGCCTCGTGCCGTACGACTTCGTCTCCTTGCGGCAGATTATCAGTGGGATGGAAGTCAACGTTGATACACACTGGTGAGGAAACATGCAGACAGCTTAAGCAGACGATGAAGGAGGGTTATCATTTGCGGAACCAAAAGCGAATGTGGCCGTAGGAGCCACAAATAAAAGAGGTAAACAACTTAAGCGGTGGTATCCAAAATGAGTAAGACGGTAGGAAAATGCGTGAAAAACCCACTCGAAGCGGTCTACAGTGAGAAAGAGTTTCAAGCCGCGGTATAAACTAGTGCCTTGCCAAATATCACTTTATTCGCTTCAGTGTCCGATACTACATATGGCGCAGAAATGTGGAATGAAAAGGATCCACGTGTTGCAGTAATACCCAGACGGCTTTGGCATTTCGGTTTCAAACAATCATGTTCATCTCCATTAGTACTTCGAAGCGAGGCGGAAATCATTTCATCCGTGCGAATGTACTAACCTAAGGTGAGCAAACGATATGCCAAATCGTGTTCAAAACGTAGCAATATGGCGATCAAACAACTAACTGGTGACAGTAGGTTACCGGTTGTCGCATTCAACTGAAGTGACCTGTAACCGGTCTAAGTGATGGTATATCTCAGTACATTGTTGCAGACAATATTGCACGGTACTCGTTCGTGTGCCTCCGATGAGCTTACACACTCACATGAGCCTACATAGCTACCACATCGAACGTGCTCGAGAGAAGATTCGGCGCAAACCCCAAATATGCTAACTTAAAGGAACGCAGTGCGGTTTTGCCCTATCTCCCAACCGTTAACCAGAGACTTGCACAATTGTACCGATAAAAGTAGGGCTTAAAATCCCCTTAAATACTCGACTGTCATGCAAAGGAATATTAATGGCGAGCGACTTAAGCAGGGAAATGCGAAATAAAAGGTGCCTAAGCTTGAATCAGCCCTCACATCACTGGGTCACCCGTTCTCCGGCTTATTGTAAACGATGTATAGTGATAGTTTTAGAGTACTTTCAGGACCGAAGCCCAGCACAGCCTCTGGTGCCATGTTCGACGCTTGAAGCTACAGAGCAGTTAAATGTCACTTCCGAGTGGTACGCTAGTTGCTTGTCCAAATTTGACATTACTCATCCGATTAGAGTACAGGTTAGGTGAGCAACCCAAGTGGAGCAGTGTAATGAAGAGCAATCAGTTCTGAGCAAGCAATGCTGTGGCCCTGACACCTCCGACGAAATTAAAGCAGGACGAATATGAGGTGTGGAAACGGAATTTATGAATCAAGCACATCGGCGTGCCAGACCACGTCGCAGAATATTCAGAGGAGGATGCAGATCTTTTTAATGTAAGAGTGCGCTGCTGGGTGGGCTACCAGCCCGCGTTAGTATAGATAATCGTTAACAATAAACGAGGACAAATTGTTCGAAGACAAGCGCAGCAAAGAAAAATAAGAGCAATGCCGACTCACGGTGGCAATCGGCAACGCGGAGTAGGGCACTCCGCAAATGAGGTCATCGGTGAACTTGGAGTCGCAGGAAAGCATGGACGAAACTGCCTTAGCCAGCTGCATCTGTGCACAGTGGTGAAAGCAATTGGGAGAGTAGAATTGGTATGGTGGGAAATATAACGGAGAGATAAGGAAGCAATATCTCGAAACAGTAGATAGGTACACATAGATCCAGAGTTACGAGGCAGGGAACATGCATACCTTTAGACCGACCCAGAATGGTACGTCTTATCACACAACTTTATCCACGCAGATCACATCCAATGAGAACATGAAGAAATGGAACCAAGGAGTAATGCGATTAGGACCTATCGTACAAAAATGACAACGACTACGGTTACTAGTTTGTTTTTTTCATTATGAAGCACAAAGAGTGGATATAAGCTGGACTTAGTCAAACCCAAGTTGCGGGATACAAATATGAATGGGGATATTGCAAACGCGAGCAGGTCAATGGAGCAAACTTGACCGATATTGCTCTCAAATAAATAAATGGCAACTTACTAACAATGGAGGAACTGAAACAACCAAACGTAGATCAACGTAAACCGGAGATAATATACCGTACTTAAGACGAAATTCTCCAAACTTGATGACGCCAATGTCATGGAGAGCACAGGCCAACTCCCGCCTGAAAGTGGACGAATGTGCGAGTGACCTGCTGTGGGAGAAAAAAGTTTACGAAAACGAGAGATCAACGAGAATGGAAGTTTTGAAACTGGTTATCATGGGCCAAATACCGATGTAGGCCTACACAGAGCGTGCGAAATGTGAAACCGTCATAGACACAAACATACATGAGAACAGATTAACAAGCAATTTAAATCGTCGCGGAGCAGTAAGTGCGATGTCGATGCACAGGTGTTGTGAGGATTTGAAGTTGCTCAGCAAGTAACTCTTACCCGTGACATCTAACGCAGTTAAGTAGATGAGAGAACAGCAAAGCCATGAATATTTTCTAATAGATTAGGGCGTATGAACAAATCAGTTGAAATCGATGCATAGCCATCCTGAGTAGTATAAGCTTAGATGGATAATAAGGAGCCGCTTGGCTGGACACAAGTGCACTACCGGTCGACACCTCAACACCAATCCCCACTTAAGCCTTGCTGAGGCAATAGCCCCATTAAGGATGGTGTGAAAGAGAAACATTCTGCGGCTTTTCAAAGAATTACACAGCCACAATACAAGGTGCGTTTCGCATCAATGTGGTACAACGCGTCGTTGCGGGACTGAGCTACCAAGTCAACAGTTCTCACGCCGAGTGGTCAAGCGGTTTACACATCGGAAGTGGCATTAGACTCTCCGGTAATGGAGTCATTAGTAGCAGATCTACCAGTCAAAGAGCGACGAGCCATGTTGAAAGGCTGATGATGAATAGCGATGAAAGTCGTCCATGATAGAGGCTTAAGGATCGGCCCCATTAGGGGTTAAGGATTCCAAAAGACAACGCACCCAGGAAGTTAGCGGTGTTCTTGAAGTAGATTTCTTGTCAAAAATAACTGACGCAGTGTTTTCTTGAGTAAGTTCAGATACATTTCAGATTTGTTTGTTTTTCATGGTTGCACGGGTATTGCTAACCACAGATAACATGAGGAGGCGAGTAGAGACGACGCATCTCAGAGCATTCAGATGATAATTGATTCAATAAGCTAAACAAATGAATTGAATTGAATACTAATCATCGCATGGATCAATCGGTTATTACCCCAAATGTAACAGCAAACAGGCGGCATGTAGTAATGTGAGACATCGATTCGCGGCTCCGAGCGATAAACTTAACACCCGGACGCGTTAAAAAGCAGCTACATGAGCGATGTGGCACACAAAATGACAAAATTCACCTCACAGAGGAATTCTCAGAGACGCCATTTACTTCTCCAGTGCTCTCGCGCGGTGTTACTTTGATGTCCATTCAATTGCTGTTTCGAGATTTACTAAAAAGTACAGAAAAAAACGTTAGGGTGAAACTGTTCCAAGGATAAGTTTGCTTCGAACGAGCAGCGATCATCAAGCAAAACAAAAAAGGCAACAGCAGTACGTCGGTACGGAGTACCGACGCTTCGCTGCCACACAACCACCACGAGTCGCGCGTGGGCTATGGATACTGCGATGGTCGCCCGGTCCCCTGGGCAGGCTCGAACCCAGGACCTGCAGATTACAAGATGGTCTTGTGATCCTTTAGGCCACGGGCCGGTACCAAGCGAAACAAGCAAGAGAAAACCACAATTGATATAGAAGAGTTTTCGCAGAACAAAGCACGTGCTTAAGCTATAAAAAATACAGGTATTCCACAGTGCAACACGTCTGTGAGCACGATGTACAAGAGGTCAGGGAAAATGAGTCTGTACAAAACGTAACTTATAGCTGAGAAACAAGGCGATGAACCAAGAGTGGAGCACTAAACAAAAGCCAACAATTGAAAATATGAGGGCTGGAAATCTCGGCAAATGCTTGCAAAACAAGTAAAAACATCTATTTACACGACGCCAACTAGTTCAAAATGGAGGAGGAATATCACACTGGGGAGGCAAAGAACGGACTCAAGTGGGTTTGGTGTTAGTCTCGGTACCGCTGTCAAAGTCGTGCAATTCTTCGACCAATTCGGGAAGCAAAGTGGTCTCGCGCAATCTGATGGTGACGGATGGAGTCGCCTGGGAGTCTGTTTGTAGCAGAACTCTAGACTGCCTCATCCAACCGGAGAGACTAGAAATGAGCCAAAAATAGGAAGGCAAACTGTCCGTATGCGTTTGAAAGCAGGTGTCACCATGGCGCCACAGTAGCGCGATGAGGGCACGTGTTAACTGGCCGAGGGCCGCGACGCAGCGCGATTCAATGTACCGTAGGTGACGTGTTTCCCTTGAGGAGTACGGATCAGATTCCAGATTCAAAGTTGATGGAATAGTGAGTAGTGTCTCCAAGGGGATCGTAGCCATATTCACCAGAGCGGCATAGACCTGATGGAAAGACATGGATAGCAGATAATCCTTTGGAGAAACGACTTGCAGAAGGGATCTAGAAACTATTTATGCATACAAACAGAAAAAGTCGACAGGCACTGTTGGCCCAAAACGGGACCAGCGAAGGCAACAGTGAAGCAGCAATGTCCATTGGAATATGGAACAAGAATGTTAAAGAAGAAATTGTCAAATGGATAAGAATAATTGTATTAACAACCGTAAGCACACAAGGTGCGAATACGGAGTATTAGACAACGGCAAGTACCAAGCAAATCGATATCTGGCACAAATAATGTGATGCAAAGGGAAAATAAAGTCAAAGTTCAATTATATATCATTTACATCGATTAGGCAGATTACTGAGTCGTTGAAACGGGGTAAAATCAGTTTACAAGAGGTCAACTATCGCCAATAATCAGGTCATTGTTGGAGTCTTCACACGATCCAACTGAGTAAAAATCACTACTCAATCGGGCCAGGGCAGTTGTAAGGCTTGAACAAATCGCTTTTGAGTGCTCAACTTTGGTTCGTACAACTGGACTGCTATAGCTTCAGCGGCTTCTCGTATCCGTGTTAGGCATGCCTAAAGATGAGCAACGCTGTGGGCAAGTTGAAACAAACCTTATCAGGAATCAACAATAATCCACAACCCGTTCAAGGTTATAAAGTAGAGTATACAAAACAACCAAGTGATCGAAGAGACCAAGGCTCACTTCAATGCGAATCGCGGTTCACACTGTGATTGCGCGTCGTAATCCATTCACACGAGTGATTCAAAATGGCTTCCGTAAAGCTAGCTCGACTAGATGTCATTGATGGTGAGTCGTTATGTCAACGTCCCAAGTAGGATCAGGTGAGCAAACTAGTAAACCTGATGCAGTGAGCAGGAAGAATGGATCTTCAAAATGCTCAGCTCAGTCGAAGTGACTGTGAATCAGTTGCTCATCTTTTAAACTGTTATTTCACTCACTGCAAATTTTGTTGGGCCCAAAGGTCGGATGATGATGTTAGCCTTCTCCATCGCATGATCGACCATTAGAGGAACAGTCAGAGATCATTTTCAGAGTATCAAGGACTGATATCCCGACAAAACGATCCCGCGTGTGTCAATAAGACTAATCGAAGTTTCAGACATCTAACTGTTGTTCAAGGACCAAGTGGTGGAAAGACAGGCGACTTTAAGTGCTTTTACACTTGGCATTAAAGTCAGATCCGAGCAGTACTCGGTTCGTCCGTTTTGTTCCTCAATGATGGATGAAGTCACAATCCAGACAAATATTAATGCCTTGCAATTTGTGAATATAACTGAAGAGCAAACCGATTCTGAGCTGATCAACTTAATGAGGCCGCAAGTGTGCGTTGGCGGGCAGGCACGAGCGCAAGGTCAGGATCGAAAACGTTACTCATCGCCGACAATGGTGCGAAGTATTGAGAGAGTTGGAAACGGTTTTTCATGTTTTTCGATAAGCAAGAACAACACATCTGAGACAAACGCAAACTGCAAGTGAATTATTGCGGATTTGCATCCTACCAGCCATTGACTAACAGGCTCAAGTGGTAGTGGAGGATGACACGCAGTTCATCTCCGGTGATGCCGATAAGAATTAGTCTCAGTGGGTACACAAGGGCCTCTCACCTGAAATAAGCCACAGTGAACGGCTGCAAGTGTGACACGCGAAGTTGTAGGCCCTACAGACACAAACAAACAGTTTTTTCGGCTTCGCATAAGCGTCGACTCCACTTCGGAACATGTTAAAGATGGCCAAAAGTACAGATCTCCTGAACGTTGAGAGGTTCATGAAAGAGTAAGCCAGTTGCTAAAGTGGAAACCGTAGATACACCCGGGCGACGCCTAGCGGTCGATGGGCGTCGTGCTGATGATTACTGCTTTCATCTGGTGTGAGCCGACCGCTAGTTTCGTATTCGCAACCCAGCTGTTCAGTGCGACCAACATGACACCCTAGGAACAGAGTGCTATGGACCTAACCCAGTTACCTTCAACTAAGGAAAGCGCATCTCGGTTCAGAATTATTCGTCGGTTTGAGACAGGTATCGAGTGCCCCCTCATAATGCTCACTCCTGTGGTCTCTGCGAAATGTGCGATTTCGAAGCTACTTGCTCTGCAATCGTACCCAAAATACACGAAAATGCAATATTGACTGTAATCACAGCATCAGCTGTCATTGACGAACGAGGTAAGCGGATCGATTTGGACCCCACCCGTTGCGTCATTAAAAAGGTACTCGAGACGATTTGTACGAGCAACCCTGGTACTGAGTGAAATACTAGAACAGGTCGGTGCATGTTGCCCGTGTGGATTGGGGACTTGGAGAACCACCACACTAATGGATGGAAACGCATGAGATGCAGTGTAGTGAAATAACCAGCGGTGCTCAAGCGGATGATGCACTGGCTGTGATTTGTCCCGTCCATCTGTCGATTGAAAAAGTGTACATTCGTTTTGAACTGACTTTCTCTTCTCATTGTCTCGTTCTCCAATCGCTTTTAAATAATTTTAGATTTTAGTAAGCTAATACAACTGAGTAGATCGAATTACCGTTGATTGACTAGATTGATTGCAGAAGGCTTAATGAAATGATAATCGCGAATAATTAGCCAGGTAACATCCACTTACTTCAGCTTTACAAGGGCAGGAATCCGGCCAAGTGACATCATCGCGAATAGCCAGAGACGCAACGAACGCACTGAACTGGAAGAAAATATAACTACCATGAGTTGCGCATAAAGAGGTCACCAAAGTTAGAAAAGATATGCCAATCGCATAGATCTCTTAAAACTATGCCGCGAGTTAGTACAGTAGACCCCGAGCACATGAACATTTGGTCTCCCTTTAAAGAAACATGAGGGTATGAAAGTGTGGAAAAAGACAAAGAATAAGCAGCAGAAATGGAAAGTATGTGTCTATTAATTCTCTTCTGGGGACAATCAGTCTAGGCTCCGCTCAAGCATGGGGCGTTTCCATCAGATCACCAAGTGAAGTTCTTATTTCTGACAGGTGACACCAACAAACCGACAACGAGCTGAACCTGCGAATCTAGTCGTGAGAAAACTAGACGAACTGATAAATTAAACGCTTCGAGACCTGGAGAAAATCAACTTAACCAAACAGAAAGCTCGTCCACCAACTTGAACATGTGGTAAGCGATTATCAGAAGTCCTGAGGGTCAGTTAGGGAAATAAGAGACTTGGGTTTACAGACTTTTAAGCGATATAAAAGAGACAGAAGGCTCCACACCACGATTGCATCTTCCCTCAAAGACAAGAGTATGGCATCACAGTTTTATGGACGCTCTGGGGCGGTACTTAGATAATGTAAATTCCTTGAGGGGTTTCTAAGGAGAAACTGAAGAATATCGTGTATAAACCAGAGTCGTGTACAACCAAACAGAGTCCAATTTTAGTTTGTAGTTATGAGCCGAACACTGAGATGAGCTTGATCCAACTTCAGTGTTTCGTGTGCCTATAGAAAGAAAAAATTATTAACGACGAGTGAAAAAATGAGATAAAATGGGGCAGAGAAAGCGACTCCTTGTGAGCAGGATTCCAAATGGCGCGTGCCATCAAGTGAAATGATACAGCCCGGAAAAAGCAAACGAGTAGCCCCACTTGTACACCACCACCAAACGTAAGCATGGAGAGGCAGATACATGAGAATGGGCAGAAAAAGACCAAAGTCTCGCTTGTTACTCGAAGATAAAGCAAATGGATAAACGGGGAGATCTGAATGTTATACGTCGCTGGATCGCGACACTTCGCTCCCCGACCGGTTCTGTACTTGCTAACAATTGTCAACAGAAGAGGACAGCACTATGACCAGAACCGTAGACACTGGGAAAATCAGCCGAAGCCGTTTGCCCCAACTCATCGAGCTGCGGGAAACCACCTGCCACAACTGATAATGATTCCTCTTTGGTACATTTTGAGATACCAGTCACATAGTTTTGTTTCGAGATCTTCGACTGAAGAAGCACGGTCCCCATCGCTCAATTGCAGTGCCTTTATTGAACGCAAGGACACAAAAAGTGCTTCAGCCCAATGCCCCGGACCAGTTATCATATATTGTAAGGGATCAAGGCGTGCGATCTCTATGTCAAGCAACCTGGTCGAGTCAGCGGAATTGAACGAAAACCCGAGTTGTTGGATATGTGTACCGTCCCTATTTATTGAGTCGCACTGTACACAGTACATTCGGTTAATTTGAGAGCTGCTCATACATGAATGATCGATGGCGATGGTGGTGATCAATTCACTTATCTTGGCAGCTGCATCAGCAATGATGGGCGCATAGAAACTGACGTTAGCTCACGCATTGCAAAGGCCAGAGCTGCCTTCTTGAACCTGCGTCATCTTTGGCGACAGAAGGGAGTTTCCCTCCGTCTGAAAGGCCGTGTATACAAGGCCACAGTGAGGGCCGTTCTGCTCTATGGTAGTGAGACTTGGCCCCTTCGGTCTGAAGATCTGAGGCGCCTTCAAGTCTTTGATCATCGTTGTTTGCGAAGCATTGCTGGTGTCGGATGGCACCAACGTGTCCGCAACGATGATGTGCGTAGGCGAGTACTAGGGGGTGATGATCATGCTAGCTCCCTAGAACAACAGATAGCACTGAATAAGTTACGTTGGCTCGGGCACGTGCTACGCATGCCTGGTCACCGCTTACCTAGGAGGGTCTTGTTCAGTCTACCAGGTGTGGGATGGCGTAAGGCTCGAGGTGGACAGATGTTGACTTGGCAGCGGGAAATGAAGTCACTGACGACCAAACTGGATGCCGTTGGTCCGTCTCGTCTTCCGGGTTGGAGTCCACGTGACTCACCTTGTGCTTGGCTCGAGACTTTGCAGGACATGGCTCGCAACCGACACCAGTGGCGCGTCTGCTACCGTCTCCTAATCGGATTGTCTGTTTAAAGTGTGTTTGGTGCTGAGTTATCTGCGGGGTAATGGCTAATTATGACGCGTGGCAGTGAAAGCCGCAAGAAAGCTGTCTCGCCGATGCCGCCTTATCTTTGCACGATAGCCAGCTGTTTGTGACGGTATGTTGTTAACACAAGGTATAGGCGCCTTGACCCTGAATGTTTGCTTAGGGCATTAAGGTTTTCAGGTAAGTCCCCCTTCTCTCCCTCTTATTCTTTATTTCATAGGTCCTCATGGTTGTATGGCAGCGAAGCATCAGTTCAAATGGCTGATGTACTGCTGTTGATGATGATGATGATGGCTAGAAGCCAGAAAACAGATTCATGAATTTTTAAGCTGGGGATTGAAAACGGCGTCACCCTTATTTGTGCGATGGAAGATCGCAGTGTAAACCGTTGCCGAATTCCTGCTGCTTTATGGACAGGCTCGAAAGCCAAAGGAATTAGGGCTGATCATTCTAATAGCGCCAACACAAAAGAATCACAGCCCATGTACGACGGGAAACGCAAATTCATCCTACAAAGGTCGTCGCGCGGCCTCAAAAGGGTCGTCTTATGCGGTGCATCCAGGAAGTGATTCTATGTGGAGTCCCGTGATGCGGACTTCAAGATCTTGCTCAGTTGATCCGAATTACACGGATGGGGTAGTTTGGCAGCCTAGAAATCGCGATGTGGCATGTACCATTCTGAAGCGGTCCCATAAGTCGTTATGTACCCTGCACACCAAAGGTATAATGTGCTGTTGAAAAACTGTTAACACTAACCGTCCGACTCTCAAGGGCGAGAAACTGGAGGTAAGGTTATCGTTGCCATCTGATAATGTAAGCTTCAAGAAAGCTGTCACGTCGCCCTATCTTCAAGCGATACCAAGTTTATAATCATACGAGATTCCCGAGGTAAGGAGGCCTTGACACTGCATATTTGTCCAGTGCGAATGTGAACTGAGTTAGACCGCCTTATCCTTGTTGGATACTTATCAGCCGACTCGTTGTCGCCGATTTATTGTTCTATGGTGTAGAACACTGCTGGTCACGTATGTGCCGATGGTCGAGGAAATGTGTGACCACGATGAAGAGGAGCAGGCGCCTAGTGGTATTGTAAGAACCAAAGTCTGATACGAAGAGTAAACGACAAACACCAGATAGTTGGGTACTAATCGTGCGGATGAAAACAAGTGGAGCGCCAAACGACCAAAAATGTTTTGATTCGCAACTGTTCCAGGCTAAAGAAAGATTTCTCATTTTTGAAAAAACACGAGCTCCTGCTAGTTTTCTACGTAAAATACCGCAAAAAAGGACAAAATCAAAGGAAAATGTTCTAAATATGCTTGAAGCTATCATAGGAGAGACAAGAAAACATTAAGATGAAGCGAATAACAAGATTGAGCGGTGATATAAACCCAGTGAGGATTGAAAGTGATGGGAAGATAAGGGCATACTTCGTCAAGAAGTTCTATCATCTGAACATTCCGTTTCTCTCCATGACTCAAACCAAACGGATCGCTCGAATTTGTTTCGTTAGATTCATGCGATACAGAAAGAGATGTGATTTGATCAGCGGCGCTCCGGATCCAACTGACGACAGCCAAAAGACGACAATTCATCTTGGATCCAAGAATAGAGCGCAAGCAATCCAGCAGATGATCTACGAGAGTAGTTCGATTAAGAGAAATATTTGAAACGCAATTAAGTAGGGTTGTGTGTTTGACATCGGGAGAAAATGTGATAAAGTGAATAGAGTGCTGGTCTCGAACTGGACAACAACGACAAGTGACTAATGACATCAAGGTGGCGCAGTAAGTGGCAAGGATAGATCGACTTAAGTGTCCAAGCTCATGAGATTCATCAAAACAAATGAAGTAGGAAAATATTCCGCCGCCACTGTAAGACACCGGCAACTTTCTTAAGGCTGCAAGTAAACTAAGTCACACTAACGTAAAGATCAATGAGTATGAACATTAAAAGGAAATAAATGAACTAAGCGAATCCCAGAAACATTATTCAGCTGTCTGCTCTATTAGACAATGGGCATAAGAAAAGGGCGGTAAGATTGATAACGGTCGCAACTCGGGATGGAAACAGCGCGTGTGTGGCACCCATCCGACCATAGTGATTGAGGCTGTGCCATTTCGGATGCTAACCAAACAAAAGCGATGAGGTGGCGATACACTGGCTCGAGGATAGAGCGGATGGGGTCAAACGGGTGAAGCGACTTAGAAGGAAAAATGACAAAATAAATAAATAAATAAATAAATGAGCAAATACTTAATTAAACAAGCAAGTAAGCAATTAAATTGTAAAGTGTGCGTGTACAAACAGAACATGCTGATACATGAAACGTGTTCCTCTGCAGAGTTGGGTATCGACAAAAGCGATACGAGAAATGATACGGAGAGTGATCCATACAACTCTAATCACGTGTGTCTTAGGGTTTCTAATAAAGGAGAAAGTTGATACATCGTACAGAACCTGATCCCCCCTTTAGCGTGCCTGGTAGTTTAGCCGATGTGAACAATTCGGTTAATTAGCATTTTGAAATTGCTGATCGTGATCATTCTTGCTCGTCGAAAAATCTACTGAACGATACGGTATAAGAGAAAAACGGATGGTTGAGCGAGTCTCAGAACCCACACATCTCCAAGGTGGCCGCGACGTTGTGAAAAGTAGTTTCCTGGGTCAGTTGCGTCAACGCGGCTTCCCGAATTGCCAGAATCCACTTGGAAGGCGACTGGGTTGCATTCCATCTTTGAGAAAAGGCGTCAGCAGTACACATGAGAACATTTCGCTGCCACGCGACCACCACTCGTCGAGATGTGTGTTGGGTATACCGCGAGGTCGCCCGCATCCAAGCAGATATCCGGATTAGAAGGCAGACCCGTAATCCACCTCCGAATGATCCGAAACGAACTGACACTAATGAAGCGGAACAAAGTGCTGAGAGACGGTGAGGAGTTTTGGTGATTGATCTTGTCGACAACTTTAACGGGAAGTTGTGCATCAGGTACTTTCGGAGTGCAGGCTGTCGACACTGGTCGCTGACCTTGAAAGAAGCCAAATAATGCTGGCTATGTGACATTCGGCGAAGCATTAATTTCAGTCCATTTGAAATTCATTTGCACCATCCTACGATGGCTAACTGGTTCGGTGGAAAGCGAAGGCCGGATCCAGTTTCACCTTCGCCGAAGCACTATGGGTCATGCAGTTACAAGTAGTCAAGTGGTGGAGATGTGCCTCGCAAACGGTTTGGTCTGGTCGACTTCCTTTGCCCGAATGCTAACCTTGGTTTAGTTAATCACGCTCATTTGATGGATTGTCCAGTTCGAGTGGTGCGCTGGGGAAGTTGCGTTTTACATTGAAATAGCGACAAAATAGACGCGAACTGCGTGAAATGTTAGGGAAAGCTAGCTCTGGTTCCTATGGGTTAAATTATCCCTAGGAGGTCGACTAACAAGTTTCGAGTTCGTGGACACACACAGTAGCTTAGTGAGTGTGGAGGTCATGCGTAATCGATAATCGTTCGGGTATTGGTGCGGTCCCCATCGGGACAGTGGACGACAGGCAAACGTAATGCGTGAGATACTGACCACTGATTCATTAACCAGATAGTAAAGCAACTGATGCAGGATAAGAGCAGCTTACCAGGGCCCGGATCCCCATCAGACTCGGTAAGATGTGCAGCCCACCAGGCACCAGTCTCATGTCCCACATTCCAATGGGCCGAAGAAACCATGCAGCGTAGCAACCGGACCAAGGCCAGCAGAGAGGCGGAATACACCGGTGTGTATCCGACAAGTGGAGTGGAATGGAACGAATTGAACCCGTCAACAGTGTGGGTGACATGCGGAAGCTTCATCCCCGTGGATGTCAAAATGAGACAGAACACCAAAGACAAATGGAATATGGGAGAATGTGATCTGAAAAGAAGATGAAGAACTGTGATCGTCGTCATGCATCTAGATATGTTGTGTTAACAAAACACACAAATGTCCCTACTGGATCTCGAAACAAAATGTGTGAGTGCTAAACACCTTTTTTACAAGACATACAGATCGCAGTGCAAAATTGGCCTATGCTGCACGAAAGATTAGAGCATGCAGACTAGCAGGGTGGGTTCAGATAGCTGATAGAGTGCAGCAATACAACAAAACCTGCAAACAAACTGCAAGGTTGTCAAAAAAGTACATCCACCCAGAGGACTGGATGCATCTCACTTTCATAGCGATTGATTCCATAGTTCCAAAGCACAGTGAAAAGGATAGATGTATATCGCTACAAGTGATGCGAATAGTGTGCACATTGTATGCAGTGTAAGACGGCCTATTTTCATCAAAAGTAGCTACAAATTGGTAGGGGACTGTGTACCATAGCAAGTATGAAGTTGTGATGGCCAAACCAATGATCCATGTGCTATTGGGAGACACTAAGGTAGTAATTGTGGCGGTGACTACGTTAACTAACGATGACCTTTAAAAGCAACAAACCGAACTGATTTGGAACTCTCACGTTGATATACGTTTTACGCGTTCCAGGTCTGTGTCCGCCGAATCAAGGTAGTTCGGAGGTTGCGTGGTGACTACGCGAATTTGCGCCGTGTGATGGGGCAGAGCCACTAACCTACCGAGTATAGACATGATGGAGAATCGTGGATAAATTCATCGGAAAGGTATACAACTAAGTTGAACTGTGGTGTCTCATATGGCAAATAACTTTCGTCTGTTCCGAACAGCCAGCTATGAGAACGGCGCGGTTTTGAAAGCAACATTCGTGCCAGTGAAGCTACGTAAGTTGGTGACACCAGCCCAAACGGTGTAAGAGAGTTTGAAAATCACTTCGGAGAGGTTAAAAGGCTGTTGATAATGCCACATGCACCGATGAGGTTCCTTGACTCGTGCATATCGCATTTCCGAGGAAGATGTGTTTAGCATGTTCATTCTTCGAAGTAACCATCATCAAAAAAACGGTAATAACTACGTCGCGAAAATATTTTCCAGGCCGGAAAGCTTTAGGCACCAGAAAATCCAATCAAAACGCCATAATGTAGATTCCAACCTTATTCTCATAAAGTCTGATGCTCTTGCACCAAAGGTACAATTCTGCGCACTTCATGCTCCGGTAGAAGAAAAGCACATTCTGCTTCAGTTTGCAAAGAGCTGCAGAAGGGGTCAGATATGATGTAAAGGAATCCATGATAATACATCGTAAAATGGAAAAGTTTGGAAAGAAACGCATACGTCGTGTTTATTGGACAGATCGACGCTGCTCGCTGAGTGCAGGAAGCGACCAAAGCAGCCAGGTCGAGAACGCAGGAGGAAAATCTTTGCAAAAGCAAGATCTGCTTCGTATCTATTTGGGAAAGTTGACAGAGCTTGTCCATGGTAGAGGCGGGAGTGTAGTGGCTTCTGGGTAGCGGATACGTGGACGCTGTTGAGGGTAGTTCGCAGTAAGGCGTATACTGCTGGGAGGAGGTGGCATTTGTCGATTTTTTGATCAAAAGCCAACGAGCTCTGCGGGGCAGAAAATAGATGAAGCGGATAGTTTACTTGAGGGTAAGAAAACCAATCAGGAAACCCGAATAAGTTGAAGAAATGAAAATGGATGTCAGCTTAACGTAGCGCGTCCTTACAATCAAAGATACGAAAAGGAAAAGAATAGCTTGTAAGATGGTTTCTGCTGAGGGACAAAAAGCAACTCACATATGTTGTTTCGTAAGCTCCTTGATGAAGCTGGCCAACAATGCGCCAATACGACGATAGGATGTTGAGAATTCGCTTTCATCGACATTGACCGAACCATCAGTTTCCGTCTGATCGCGACGGACGTAGAAAGAGGCAAGCAGTTGCCAATTTTGCAAAGCAAGAGTGATGCATTGAAGCTGTTTCAAGCACAACAGGCCTCGTCGTACAATCGACAAATCCTGAGGTGGTAAATGCAGTTCAGAATCAGTGGAAAAACGGGGTACAGTGCTCACTGGAACAGCAATGGAAAGGTGAACTTCGGCTGGCGCAGTCGACGCAATACCGGTCAGACCACGTGGACCGGGGTGGGCTGCAGAATAAATATGATAAAGACATGATTGAACCAACTCAGACATTCGCAAGCAACAAATGGAATCTTCAGATTGTAGCACAATAGCGAAAAAAGTAATCCGCTGTTATACAAACTGTTAGCTGAGCTTGGCAATTTTGTTGCAAACGATTTATAAGCTTGAACGTTTCATCCTGAGCAACAACGCTCCGGGGTCGATGGACACCGAACAGAGAATGGTGATCAATTCCAGCACCTATGTACCGACCACAATCTTAGTAGCACCAGCACTGTTTTTCAGCACAAACGTTCACCTCACGTCACTTAGTGTCCACTGAATTTCTCAATGACCTGGACGCACACTAACCATATTGCCATCAACCACAGATGGCGCACATCAGTCCAAGGCTGTCAGTCAATTTGGTGCACGTGCCTGACCATGCTCTAATGAGCGCACGCCCTGTACTTACTCTTCCAGCAACAGAAAACTTTGAATTAGCAGTCTACAGTTTAACAATATTATGACGAAATAGCCCATCAATTGCCAGTGATGAATGAGGTTGGTAAGCCAAATGCTGACTGCAATCGTCTTAGATGTGCCTTGATGAATGCCTATGACGCAGGCCACATGCCCAACTTGGGACGTCTTAAGAGCTAATTGATCTATGAGGTATCGATAGAAGCACGGAAACAGGTCCCGCTTGGTACTGAGGTTCTGCGCTTTGGTAACACCCTGAAACGATGACTGACAAGGAGTCGTCGAACTAATCGGAAACGTTGGTTGGATGGAGAAAGCTGGTGCTAGTTCAGATCATCCAGAACCCGGATCTGAGAAAGCTGTCAGTTAAAGAGATGATAGCGGAGAAAGATAGATAGATGATTCATTCTAAACCGAGCCGACTGGCCCGTTGAGTGGGACATTCTGAAGAGTAGTTCAGCAGACCTGTTGCAACGCTGCCGTTTGTTGAATCAACTGAGCAGACGTGGGAGGGTGATGTCACACCTCCCACTCCGAAAGAGATTCGACATGAGCTTGTTGTGTTGAAACGAAACAAGGCTCCTAGACTCGACAACCTTCCTCCACGTTTACTGAAAGATGAAGCTGACACTTTGTGGACTGGATTTGCTTTTCTATGTAACAATATTTGGGACACTGAATTAGTGACTTCAGACTGGCGGCTGTCAACTGTCGTGTTCATCCCCAAGAATGGCCAGCGCACTTTGTGCGAAAACCACAGGGATACTAGCTTCATTTCCACTGCCTGCAAACTTCTCACTCGTATAATTTTTCGATGACTTACTGGTCCCTGCGAGAAGCGAAACATTGTAATCCAGGCCGGCTTCCGCCCTGATCGTGTTTAAATCAACCACATATTTATATATCGGCAAGATTTAGAGCAGAGACACACATACAGACGACCGACCCTGACTTGAAAGTCGCTTTCGACTCTGCTGACCACGCCAGACTGTGGCACTACTTAGCCATGAAGGGCGTCAGTTCAACTCCTTTCCATTCTACCGTGATTCCCGAGGCCTGGTAAGGGTCTATGGGAAACTGTCTTCTGAGTTCCCCACGACAAGTGGGGTTCGCCAGGATTGTTCTATATCTGCTTTCGTCTACAACTTTGTGATCGAAATGATCACGAATGTCTCGGTTTTTTCAGACTTTACCGGAGTAGAAGTTCTAACAGGTGATCTACTGACAAACCTGAGGTATGTGGCCGACATAGCTCTCATCGGGTCTGACACCTTGGCTATGCAAACACTACCGGATAGACTGACGCGTAGCGCTGCGCACTTTGCATGTGAATCTAACCTTCAAAGTGCAAAGTACTGGTGCAGGAATGGAGCGATACGCCAACGTTTTGAGCTATCACAGACCAGCCACTGGAAGTAGTGAATCGGCTCACTTACTTTGTCCCCACTGGTAATCACATTACTGAGGAGATTACTTCGCGTATCAGCAAGGCCTGTGTGGTTTTCCATAGACCCAACCGTCTGTGGAGACGACGGGGCACTAGCCTATCAGTGAAAGGTAGAGTGTAGAACGCAGTGATAATACCGGTGCTATTGTACGAATAAGAGAAAAGGCCAGTTAGCAACGAAGACATTAAACGCTTAGCTGTTAGACCGCCGTTGCCTGCAAAGTATTGCACGTCTGGTACGAACACCGGGTGATAAACGATGAGGTCTGCCAGTTGATTTTTGGCAAAAAGCCTTTTGATGCCTTACTCGAGTGCTTGCTAAGCTCAACCACTTACCCTATCTAGATCATGTCCTCCGTATGCCCGTTGACCGGCTTCCTCGGTCTGCAATCCAAGTTGCATTTGCATCTAGTGAGGCCGGACCGTGAGGTGGCCAGTCGATGACGTGGGGTAAAGGCATGAAGAAATGGACTGAAACTTGGTCAGGTTGGTGTGTGTCATCTTCGTGGATGGGAACCCCGGGGATGGTCCACACCAGTAGCTGGGGACGACAACAATTAGCCCTCGTTAGGGTTTTCCAATTTCCCAATTTCGTTGTGGATTCCATCATGGAGTGTTCGCTTGCGGAATCTCACGATGGAAGTCTTGTGGTGTTGCCTAGTGGAAGGATAGCTGATCTCGATTCCGCAGAGCACATTGTTGTGTTGTTTAAAGACTTTTGCGCAGCGCGATCAACGCTGGATAAACTCACTAGAGTGGTCCCGCCATTTGACATGCGTTTCGCACCTTCAAAGTGCCAAGTGTTGCTACAGGACCATCAGCCACTTGATGATCCATTGACCAATGATAGCAAGGGACTCGAGGTAGTTGATCAATTCACTTTCCTTGGCAGCTGTATCAACAACGATTGGCGTATAAGCACTGAAGTATTACAAAAGCCACAGTTGTCTTCTTAAATCTGCGACATCTGTGGAGACAGCTAAAGGTTTACATCGGTTTGAAAGGCCGTTTTTACAAGGTTACAGTAAGGGCCGTCCTACTAAACGGTAGTGAGACTTGGCCCCTTCGATATGAGGCGCCTCCAGGTAATTGATCGTCGTTGTCTGCGGAGCATTGCTGGTGTCGGATGGCACCAAGTTGTCCACAACGATGATGTGGGTAGATGGCTGCTAAGCAGCGATAACCAGGCTAGTTCCTTAGAACAACACATACCACTGAATACGTTGCGTTGGCTTGGGCACATACTACGTATGCCTGCTGACTGCTTCCCTATGAGTGTCTTGTTTAGTCTACCAGATACAGGGTGGTGCAAGGCTCGAGGTGGACAAAAGTTGACTTGGCAGCATGAAATGAAGTCACTTACGACCAAACTCCGTGCCGTCGATCCCAATCGCCCCCCAGGCTGGAGTCCATGTAACTCGCCTTGTGTTTGGCTCAAGACTTTACAGGACATGACTCGGTCGACACTAGTGGCGCATCTGCAGCCGCCTCCTAGTCGGAGTGCCTGTTTAAAGTGTGTTTGGTGCTAAGTTATCTGCGGGGTAGTGGCTGATTAGGACGCGGGGAAGTGAAAGCCGCAAAGAAGCTCTCTCGATGATTCCACCTTATCTTTTCACGATAGCCAACTGTCTGTGACGGTAGGTTGTTGACAAAGTGCAGACACCTTGACCTTGAATTTGTTTAAGGCATGAAGGTTTTCTGGTAAGTTCCCTTTCTTTCCCTCTTATTACCCATCATTCCGTAGGTCATCATGGCAGATAGGCATCAGTTCAAATGGCTGATGTACTGCTTTTGATGATAATGTTTAGATTATCAGACATGGCGCAATCGCGCAGTCACTGGCGTTCCAGCACTCGGCTTCATGCATCTAGCTGTTAATTATCTTTCCATCCTGATTAGTTTGACACATCCTCTTCTCAATCCCATTTTCGTAGTATTCTGTTTGCGTTCTACCTCTTTCTTACGGTTATTTATTGTTACTATGGTGAAGTGAATCGTGGCAACTGGATCCACCGCACTCCGGTGTCCAGAGCAAAGTTGCACAACTGAACTGAACTGGTGATGAGACGTTTGAAACAAAATTGTCAAACTCAGCGAACAGGTCATCTAACAAATGGACAACCTGAGCTAACACATTTGCTTCTACATTAAACTAATCATTGGCCGAAGATATACAACTGATAGTATATGTTTTCAGATTTGTCTGTCAGTGTGAGTACGAGTAACCCCGGACGACCGTATCTACTGAGACTTTCGGCGATCTGCGTCACAAGAGCAATTGTTCCAGTCGCGTGTGCACACACACACACACACGCACACATATATGAGCACACCAGTATATCCATCGTAGATCGAAAGAAATAAAACTGCAAATGTGAGATTGGGAATGACAGCAATTCGGGGAGAAAGATGAACGCGTTCGAGGGGCATCACTCATGAGCAGGTGGAGCTAAATGACACTGCAAGACAGTGACAACATCGGGGGATTGCAGAGGCGGCTTGCATTGTGACAATGTGGGTGCATATTGTGAGCGCTTGCTTCGTGTGGGAGTGCGTGGGTACCAACTAACCAACTGTGTTAAGGAGATAGAAATATCAGATGTGCACACGGGTGTGGTAGAATGTGTGAAAAAATACAGCCTTTCAGCGTATCCCAGCCACGAAGAAAACCTGCGCACCGCGTCTCCATCGGCAGGGAGTAGAAGTTTTCTGAAGGTAGTTATCGAGGCTGCAGCAGATAGCTAGTTACTCTGCCAATGTCCACATCGTCTGTGGCCAGACCCGATTTAATAGATGGGGGGAAGCCAGGTGTACGAAAACACAGTGTTCCATTTATGGCTCAAGTGAAGCGACCGGAAAACGTGTCGTAAAGTCACACAGGTTGGGTCCTGAAGAAATTGCAAACTGAAACTGACCAAGTCACTTTGTCCTCGATAATCATGTTCCGCTTTCTCAGCCCCGTCTTACAGTCATACTACAAGTGAGAACTGGGAAGAAAATGCTAACTAAATCTGCTCTACGCATGCTCATTCCCGTATGTCAGTTAGTCTTTTCTACTAAGCCATGCCTTCCTCTTGGCTCCCATGCAAACGTGATTTTATACATCCTTACCCCATGTTCCACATTGCTTTTTAACCGGTCACGCCTATCGTCGTACAATTACACGAACAGGACTACGCTGGTTACGAAAGGCATATCAAGTCCGCCATCTCAACTTCCCTCTGTGGTCGTACCACAAGCTAAAAAGAAAGAAATACTAAACAAAGTTATACATCCCTTGTCCACTCTTGGTTGAGATATGGTGATACCTAGCATGATGCTCAAATTAAGTACAGAAACAACAGACTTTGAAATCGTGCTAAGATGTTCTTATTGTCATACGAGTAATATATATATATATATATATATATATACGTAATAAAAAATAAACAGCTTCTCCTAGTTTCAAATGCTATGGATATAGTGTCTAGTGACGAGATCATCACCTCGCAGGCTATCCACTCTCAGTGGAAGATAGGTGGTGCTATATCCCAGTTGATTTTCAAAGTATGTAGCCCAGCCAACGTCCCCCATGGCTCAGTGGCTTAAGCTGCCGGCTAGTTGGCATCTGTCTCTAACGATCATGGGTTCGATCCCCAGTAGGGGACCAAGGGAATGCGCACCACTGACGCGCCCCAATAGGGAGAAACGCGTCCGGTGCTTTTCCGGATTAGGCTGTGCTATGTATCTTGTGATCTACTGGGATGAATACCTAGTAATCCAAATCGACAACTTGACTACTTGGGAGGAGTTCAAGGTCAGCTTTCAACGAACCGCCCGGAGCGTTGTTTAGGACATCCTAAATGGCAAAGTTTAACAGGATCGGAGAGATAGGGCATCCCTGTCGAACTCCACTGGAGATCACAAAGGAAGGCGAAGCTTGCCATAAGCGCTGACTCTGCCCGAGGTCAGACCATAGAGGCATTCCTCAGCAGGTAGTGCCACAGTACCGTCCGATCGACAGAATCGAAGGCTGCACGAGTCTCCAAGAAGACAGCAATCGTTGGCTGCTGATACATATGGCAGAGCTCGAGGATCCGGCGATGAAGATGTGATTGATGCAGCAGCGACCAGGGCGAAACCCAGCTTGTTCTTCTCGCTGCAACGATTCGCGCGTTGGGGATAGCCTGCGAAGTATGATGGACACCAGCAGTTTGCAAACGAGGGGAACCATGCTTATGCCTCTGTAGTAGGAACAGATTGTGCGAAATCCCTTTTTGAAGATAGTGACGACTATGGTGCTCTGGTTGCGGAGTTATAAGCCGCGCCAATCCTATCTTTCGGCTTAAGTACCTAAACTAATGAGTTCTGGCCTCGTGCGTATGATGCTGATCCCAGTGCGATGTGCCAAGCCCGACTGCGCTGCAGGCGACTGCCTCGAGTACTACTTCCAGGTGAAGGTATCAGCAGTACATCAGCGCACCGTACCGACGCTTCGCAATCACGTGACCGAATCCGGTCGCGCATGGGTTAGGTATACAGGAAGATGGTCCACACCTAACGCGAATTCGAACCAGTGACCCCCGGGTGGCAAGATAAGTGCGTAATCCTCCCATCCATCGGCCGCTAAACACTGTTGGGAGAAGACATGTAGTCTCGTGACAGTGCTAAGATATAAGAGTGGTTCCAACGTGGATTAGGCTGCGGTTCAGCAGACGCCATGTACACATCTGGTATGTGTGGCCTATTCACTGTGACGATGACGCACGAATCCAGAAGCGGATGCCACCAAACAAGTACCAAGTTTCCGTTAGAAAGGAAAACTAACCTTTGTGAGATGTGGTGCGTGGAAATGGAGCTACGATTTGGGATGCAGGAGCACCAGCAAACGGGTCTTCAGTGAAAGACGAAATAACTTCTTCCTCACAGCCGCGGATCGGGTACGAGGTAGAAGCACTTGGTGGTACCTCATCGTCACGATGGAGGGGAAGCGCGTCAATCGAACTAAGGCGAAAGCGCGCAGAAGGATCCAAAATTGTTGGTACAAACTGAAGAAGCAAGATACAATGCGTTGGGAAAAACGTCATGGTCACACAAGACAAAGAAAGCTTATGTGCGAAACAAGGAATGGTTATATGATCAAAACTTCAGATCTGACGGTTACGAAGTCAAGAGCGTTAGTGCAAACAAGCTAGAGCATCATGCTGGGAAATATAAGTTCCGTCAAAGTGAGAGGAGACTTTCGATCTAGCCACTCCTGTTAATTAGAAAATAGCAAGTCACCAACTACAACAGATCAGCAATTGTACTGGAGTTTCACTGTCATGCCGATTAGTGTGGGCAATGGTGGTACCACGAAGACAAACGAGTTGCATGTTAGACGTACAGCCCTCGGTCCACAAAGGAAGAATTCAGGGGAGATTCACAGGGCTCGGGGGATGAGTTGACACTGATGCCGATCGCTAGGATAATCGTCGGGGTGAATCAAACTGGAACAAACAACTTTCAAGATAACAGCACAACCTAGCACAGATTGATGGATCGAAGATGTCGAGAAACCACCGAATTAAACCAAACAATGGTGGAAACCCAGTAAAGCAAGTAGTCTAGACAATGGAAAAACCGACGACCGTTTGTGGGCACGGTTTCTTGGTAGCAAGAGAAATACACACTATTATTATGGATGAACCTAAGTGTACAAATGGCTCGGAGTTGCCTTCAGAAAGGGATTTCTATGTGAATCAGCTTACGCATAAAATGGATAAACATGTCATAATGAGATGCTCGTGGTAAGTGATGGTTGTCGCCAATATAACCTGCATGGTATGATGGTTGTATCGCTACGAGTCGCTCGTGGATATAATAAAACTCAGAGATTCACTGCTGGTTTTGGAGTATCCACTGTGTTTTGACAGCGATACCCAATCTAAATGTAAGACATGATTTACTGTGAAGTGAATCGTCGAAACTACGACACATGGTGGACACTCTCCAAAACCCAACGATGAATTCCTAACCGTTGTTCTAATCTTTGCTCGCAGACTTCAACAGCTTAATAGGCACGCAGTCGGCCGTGAACCACTATGTGCCAGGGGTTTCACTCTTAGTCACATAGTCTAAACGCAATAGTGAAAGCGTGCCGCACTGAAAATACTCCACAAACAAGTTTTGAGAGTAGATAATTCAGCCTTAAAGGGGTCCACACTAGGCACCACATTCTCGAGCTGTTTAGGAGGTCGATGCAATGTCAGTTGGACAATTTATAAACAATGAGAAGAGAAGCAAAGTAATCAAGTTGGAATTTCATACAGCATGTTGCTACGACGGTAAAGTTAATGATACCGAAAGCAACCACAAAAAACAGTCAGGCAAAAAGGGTAAGGACGGTAGAATTCTGAAGCTGAACGCCTACTGATTGTGTCCTGCCAGTGTGTCCACCGCACAAACATTTGAAGATGGCGGATTGCGATATGAATACTGCTGCTCATAACTTGTGCAATCGCAACAGTGTTCACCGTTGGCAGCATGCAGTCGCTTGAGGAGAGCGAGCTCACGTAACAAAGTGGCGTGTAAATATGGTGCCCTGATAAACATGGTGCATAGAATCGCATCAGTCGTAATAGAACTGGATCTCGCCGTGGTACAACGATCTGAATAACTCTCCGAAGCACTTGGCCCCAGGGAGTTGTGATGTGGGTCCTTGAAACAGACATCTAGCAGATTGGATAATAGTTACCCTTTAGACACTTTAGTCCTCGGCCCGTCAGATTGAGATTGGGACCAAGGTGGTAGATGGTTAACCAAAAAGTACTGATAACATAGATCACTGCTATATTCCGGCTTTCGAGTCGAAGACATTGGATGAGGAACCCAACTATTGGCTTGTTCAGATTTCGGCGCGCTTTTAGCGTTCCAACTTACGTACAGCCATGGGTGTTTCAAACGAGTCAAGCCTCATCTTTACTCAGCCCTTGCGCGATTCAAAGAGGGAGATCCCAACTTCTGCATAGACCAAGATTGAAAAGAGGAACCAGCTGATAGCTGATAACCCGTCTTTCCCTTCTACTCGATTCTGTTACACCCAAGCCGATCTACATAAGTAACCGTTGTTCCAAAAATCATTGGCAGGTCTATTTAGGCTTGCCATCTGCACCAATGCCACCACAGAGCCCATAATCTCACACCATAAGCAGCCTCTACTATCAGATAGAGCAGTCAAAAGTATGTGGTGACTTTCCAAATTCAGATCCTAAGGTTGCACTTGAGTGCACGCTGGACATCCTAGGTGCTGAGGACAAGAATCCGTGACTCTCATGCGGCTATCGAACTTACCACGCCCGTTCGCCATCTCGGAATTGGCTGTACGCCTTATTTCTTGATTCAACGACCACATACAGGTCCCTCCAACGAATCTGCGCTACTCGATCCGCATGTCACTCGACATTTGAGCAAAGCTGAGATAGTATCAGCGCTCCAACTCCTAGCAAGGAACGCAGCCCGGCTCATGAAGCGAGGCATTTCCAAGAACATTCGTTTACCACCTGTCCTATTTCTATTCAATTTCGTGATGGAAACTGACGATGTCAGTTACCACATACAAGATGAAGTTAGTTTGAATATACAGATGAACTCACCTAATTACTGGGTAATCGCACTGGTTCCATTATCTGGTATACTGGTTACATCCTCAAATGGACCCAGTTGAGGAATGCAGTCACACAAGTAAATGTGGTATGAAGTGTGGTCAATAAAACAGACACGTATGACAGAAGTTGGAATCACCGTTAGGAAAATGTAACACCACTGATTAGAGAAGGGGATACTTCTGGGAGGTGAGGACCGTGTCTCTAGGACCACAGTAAGATTCTCCTATGCTGCAACGACACGCTGAGCTATCTGTGGGGAATACTGAACATGAAGCAGGGAAGTGAAAGCCGCAAAGAAGCTGTCTCACCAACGCCGATTTAAATTCCTACAATTAACAGCTATTCATGATCATGAGTTTCTGATAAGGTAGGGAACCAAAGACCAAGATGTTAGTCCAAGGAGTTTGGGTTTTACATCAATCCCCCTTTTTTCTTCCCTACTAGTAGCATCCCTATGGTCGTAGGGTGGAAAAGCAGCAGTACAGCATGCCAAGATGTTGCTGCCAATGCAAATGATAGTGGGAGGAGGAGGAAGATGACAATGAGAGTTTTATACGAAGGTTTAGTGGTCCAACAGAGTGTGTTGTTATCTTCTCAGACATTGGTGCACCGATGTGTGTTGTGTCACTGCATCGTCACAATGTAACAACAAGATTGAGGACCAAACTGACAAGAGAGTAGAAGAAGTACAATAAGACACCTCATGCAGCGTTCAAAAGAGCCAAGCAAATACTGTAGATTAAGGTTCTGGCACTTTGCGAACATCACAAGATCACTAACAGGTGACTACCGCCCAAAGATAAGGCGGCATTAGTGAGTCACGGGCTTACGCATTCGGCGATCCCAGTGAATACGACCGATGGTTTATAGGTACTAAGAACAAAAAAAGGAACCGTCTACCGAGTGATTACGCACTCGGCGATTGTTGCTGGTTCAAAGACTATAGACTGTAGTGTTGTTGGGTTGAGTTGTAAGTATAGCCAAGTCGGAGACGTGTGGGCTTTGAGTAAGAAAACAGAGACTATGAAAGTGGTAGTCACAGTGCCCCTACAAAGCTCTACATATTCGAAAATCAGGAAAATGAACAATCGAAAAATGTCTGAATCAAGGTCACAACGTTAGGTCGCTTTGGACGAAAATAATGTGTAGGAAACGAGAGCGCATTGGGTAGTCGAATGAAATGAATATTACAGTAACATAAAGCAGCAAACATACGCTACAACTACTGACTGAAACAGTAGATAGAAAACAAAATAGCAGTAACAGGGCGTGCCTTGAAAATTTCTTCCATGTGAGGAATGAGATTATCCAAGCTTGCCATCAGAGTACGAGTGTAACGAAGCACTCTTGACAAGGAATCCTGGGGACTGCTTTTGTTGAGAGCGGGGCGAGTCCACTCATCGTCCGGCTTCATTAACATCTCCACTCCTAAAAGGTGCTTATAAGCTGAATTCCATGTCGAATGTGAGGATTCGGATAGTGGTGTTGTGCACTTTTGGAGCTCAAATCCCGGTCTGGCAGATTCCATGTTAGAAGAGAGATTATCACTAAAAATGAATTGATAAAGGACGTGGTGATATACATGCAAGTGCGAAAAAACATGGAGAAAAGAAAATGAAAAACCTAAGATGACAAGAAAGACGTTAAGATTAAATAACGAAGACTTCCAAGTCAGATGACTTACCGCATTCAAGAAAAGCACTTGTGTTACGCTGAGACAAAGATAGCCGATGTAACTCACCAAATACCGGCCTAACCACTTCCCAAATTAGAAGACATCAAAAAGGACATCGTCAAAACCTTCAAATGAGTCCCAGGCGGTGCGGCGTTAAAACAGCAAAATGACTCCGTTACATAGTTCAAGAAAATGACCTAGAGGAAAAGAACGAACAGCCAGAAAATACTGGATGTAGGAAAACGCTCCTGTTGGCTGGCTCCAGGCCGAAAGTGTTGTCAATGGTCAACTTCGATGGAAGAAAGGTTGTCGTTGGCTGACTGCTGGTCAATGAGCCTCCAGCTTGCGCTGAGGCAATCGGCATGGAACTAAACTTGAATCGCTTCTATGGAAGATCCCACTAAACAACCCCGCAAAAATTGATGTACCACTTCCTCCTAGGATCCAGGTATATTGTAACCACGGGTCTCCGTATCCGAACAGCTTATTGTCGTGACTGCATGTTCTTTCCATCTGTGGCCACTGGGCAAGGTTCATACGGCCCCTTCCATCGCAATGAGGCTGGATCTTAACGTGGTGCGATGGTTTGTGTGCCTCAGTGACCCATTGAGCTATGTTGAGTGGTGCTTTCGCACCTTCAAAGCCATTTATACCAGATTGGTCAATGGTTAGAGGCCAGACAAACTCAGTCTCCTGGTCCTCCAGGTTGGGGGTTAAACGAAATGGCTCCTTATTCCTTAAAACGGACTCCTTTTAGCCCAACGCCAAACCCGCTGCCTTGCGGTCAGGTTTTTGAACCAAAGGCTTTGGTTGAAAACCCTAATCGTTCTCCTGTCTAAGCCTAGGCAATCTGGCAGCATCCTGCCCAGCAATACAATGAATTTCTCTTCAAATAGTTTCTTGATGCTCTGGCCACCGCTGAGGATAATCAACGGTGCCCTATGTGTTGCATCGACCAAAGTGGATAGGGGTTTGGATGCTACTGCTCAAGCCTACTCATCTTCCTATTCCCCCTCTTACGCTTTTACACTCTTACCGTCCCGTTCCAACTTCACTTTTATACCCCTGTTTACAACCCCCCAATTCTTAGCCATCCTCAACTTGCTTTGATAAGCGTTTATCTTATAGTTTCAACTCATATGTGAACGCGGAGCGTCACTCCTCTCCTGTCGACAAGCCCATGTCCAATCAGACATCCAAGCCCAATTCATCGGCTTCCATCTGAAGCCTTTGATCATTCTTCAGATTGGCGTACTTCAAAGTACGCACAATGCTACAGATCGGTCAATAGACAGGACCTGTCCGAAATTTAGAGACCCTCTCGATCGATATCTGCTGCTTATCGGAGACCCGCCTGCAAGACTCGAGCTCTGTGCTCACTTTGCGATCCCCTTCAGGTGTCACCAGTAGCACTTTCCCATTGCGTCTACTCGGTGACAATGCAGCTTCGAGCACCGGCCAAGCCGGTGTTGGTATTACCCTGAGTCCCCGAGCTGAAACTGCTCTGGTTGATTGGATCCCAGTCAGTAGCCGGTTGTGTGCGGTCCGATTGGCTGGCTCGTTCAAAGATTCGAAGTCACACGGGACTAACAGGTGTCTATTCGTCATCGCTGCCTATGCACCCACATTCTAGCGATGATTTGGTAAAAGACGACTTCTATCGTCAATTGAACGAGCTCCTTCGCCACAGAAGAAGCTCGGACACTGTTGTGATGGCTGGGGATCTGAACGCTCAAGTTGGAAGATTATCCACTGATGAACCGCATCTGGGCGGCCAACATAGTCCAGGCTCCCGTCATGATAACTGGGAGCGATTGCTTCAATTGTGTGAAGATGCTCGCTTATTACTTGCGAGCACTAATTTCCGACACAGCACTCGCCGGAGGGCGACTTGGCGCCCACCAGTCTCGAACCAACCTTGGAAGCAAATCGATCACATTGCGATAAGTTACCGATGAACAGGCTGCGTCCAGATTTGTCGCTCGATTTAGAGCACATGTGTAGACACCGACCATGCACATGTATGTGCTGACCTGAGGATGCGTTTTGGCAAGCGCCCCAGACGACGTTGGGAGCACAGTGACACCAGCCAACTGGCGAAACCAGCTGTTCTGAATGCTTAGCAAAGTACGCTGTCATAGGAGTTAAGTAAGCGCTTACTGGATGCAAGTGATGCTCACTGATCTCATATTCACCAGTCCTTAGTAGCACCAGGCAAATCCTCATGTGGTAAGACTAATCGCCAACAGGGACAGTGGGTCTCTTCGTAATCTCTGGAACTTATCGATGCTCGTCGACATATTCCGGCTGGAAGCGAACACAATGTAAGTCGCGAAGAGCTCCAGGCAAAACTCCATGCTAGCCTGAAAAGAAACCGCGATTCTTGGTAGTTTCGTCGTGCGTCAGAGATGGAAGTGGCCACCTCCCTTGGTAACCATCGAAAGTTATTCCGTCTGCTACGGGAAACGGACAGCAGATCTAGTGTTAGTGAAACAAATTGTGACGAGAGTGGACAGCCTATCCACAATTTGTCAAAACGTTTAGAGCGTTGGGCTGAGCATTTTGAAAAGCAATTTAATCGGCCAGAATTATTCGATTCATCACGGGACAGTGATCGCCTTGCTCTGTGGGCTGTCCTTTTGGATCCACCCTCTCGTTCAGAAGTCGAATGTGAGATCGGACTGTTGAAGATGAATAGAATCGCGGGACCAGATGATGTTCCTCCAGCACTCTTCAAGTTCAAGGGCGCCGCAATTGTTGACAATTTACACGAATTCCTAGTGAAACTGTAAGAGCAGGAAACTGTCCCAACCGATTGGAGCCACGCCGTCACAGTTCCAGTTTTCAAAGAAGGCTCGCGTTCGGAATACGGCAACTGGAGAGGAGTCACAGTCTGATAGACATCGCCTCCAAATTACTTGCCTCAGTAATCCTTCACAGACTGACGCGTTCTTGAAAGCCAGATTCGTGAAGAGCAAGCCGGGTTTCGCCGGGGTCGTGGCTGCATCGACCATTTTTTCACTTCGTGTCAATCGTTGAAGCACCGTCACAAATATTGGTGGCCCACCGTAGTCGTGTTCCTCGACATCAAATGTGCCTTCGATTCGGTTGATCGAAGTGACCTCTGGGACTGACTACTCAGGAAAGGTGTGTCTGAGAAATATGTGAATATTATCTGAGCATTATATGCACGTAGCAGGGACAGAGTGAGGGCTTGCGGCAAGCTGTCGCCGCCCTTCAATATCTCCAGCGGTGTGATATAAGGATGCCCGTTGTCACCTTTCCTCTGCAACTTCGCTATTGACGAAGGCTCGGAGATTGAATTTACAGAACAAGACTTAGAAGGTGTGGATCTGCTCCCAGGAGAACGACTTCTTGATTTGGAGTATGCTGAAGATATTGCCCCAATCTGTGACAGATCCCAGACGTGCCAAGGGGCACTGGACAGAGTAACGCTGGCTATCAGCCGCTTCGAGCTTTGCTTTGCACCATCGAAGTGCAAAGCTCTCATCCAAGATTGGCAGGGATCGCATCCTGCGCTGACCATTGGTGGGGATCAGCTAGACGTCATTCAGAAATTCAACTACCTGGGAAGTTGTATCAGCGTCCATGGGATCGAAGACGAGATAACGAACCGGATAGCAAAAGGTCGAAGTGCTTTTGCTAGTCTTCTCCACCTATGGTAGTGGCGCGACATCACTCTCGCTCTGAGGGGTAGAGGGTACAATGCAGCGGTACGTTCAACCCTACTGTACGGTTGCAAAACCTGGCCCCCTAGATCAGCGGACATAAATAGGCTAGTTACGTTCGACCACCGGTGCCTTCGCAGTCTGGATCACATCTGGTGGGAACACCGCGTGAGCAACGAGGGTGTTCGACGTTTTGGTTATGACACAGGAAAAGGAACTGAACCGCTCAGCACCGTCATTTCACGCACCAGGCTCCGATGGCTGGGCCAAGTATTGCGCATGCAAGCCCAACGACTCCCGCGACGTGCGTTGCTTGCTCACCGTGGATGTGGATGGAAGAAGAAGAGGGGTGGCCAAGCGATGACATGGTTGAGAGGAATGAAGGCCCTCACTTAGGAGCTGGCCTCGGTTGGAGCTTCACGGCTCCCTGGTTGGGGCCCTAAAACGATGAACACGTTTGGCTAGATACACTTGTTAACATTGCCAAGAGCCGACCTCAGTGGCGTTCCTGCTCTAAGTTTCTTTGTCCCACCCCATCCCTTTTAGACTCCCCTCCAACGAGGATCTCATTTCGTAGCATAATATAATTTACACCATAACTTTTCTTGTTGTCTAGTAGCCGGCTGCTAGCTTTCCGGAACGATGCCCATCCGTTGCTGCTAGCTCAGCTGGCATGCAACTGTTGCATTTATTTTCTTTTTCCTTTAGGTACTGCGACACAATAGCTGAGATGTTTTTACACCTCTAGCTAAGGTGTATAATGATGATGGCCCCTTCTGTGCCATATATATATATATATATATATATATATATATATATATATATATATACTACTTTTATGCTACCATTACACAAGGGCAAATGAAACAAGCAACGTGACATGAGTGGACGCAAGACTAGAGCGCTGACATTTTTGTGGTCTTTTCAACGTGAATGCGCCACGAATCGTGGATTAGTATATATCATTCGATTCCTCTTCGTGTGCTCCATAACCCACTAGAAAAACTTTGAACGTATATCCATCGGTTTTTGTGAAAACGTTTTCAGGCATCTAACATGAATCGTGTGTTTGACTAATGAGCGTTTCCGTAGAGCTCGGGCCATTTTTATACCTCCTTTTGTATTCATCTAATGTTGTTTTTGTATTCTTTCATTTGAGTTTGATTTTATCTATGAATTTACA